TTCCACCCTCGCGGCGGCATGCGGCTCCTTTCTTCTCTCTCTTTCTCAATTGCCGCTTGAATTTCGATTAGCCCTCCACAGTTTGAACTGATTAACTTTCTTCTATTTATTCATTTCACTTTTTCTTTTTATTCCCTGACGGATGCTTTTTATTTTGAGTGAAGTCGAACAGCCATTATTAAAAAAAAATCAAACAATGTTCTTTTCTCCGGCTCTTCTCTTTTCGATATTTAAAGGAAGAAAGACTGAAGAGAAAAGTCATTCCGAGAATTTGTTTACTTTCATTTTGTGATATTAATTTCGACTGCTAGGTATTTTTAACGCTTCGATGGATTCTTACCCGCAGTGAAAGACGTAAAAAGAAACCAGTAAGTACATTTTATTGGCAAGCTAACAGTCAAAGAAAGGTTGCGAAGGAAAAATCGATTTCGATTAAAATTTTTGCCAAGCAGTGGAAAAAAATACGTACGGTGAGCGGTACGAGAGAGACAATAAAACGTGGCGGCATGTGCAAAACAAAGAGAATTTTTATCGAAAGGCAAAGTAAGAGAAAGCTGTACTGCAATGAAAGGCTTTCAACCGCAAATAGACATGAATAGCAGCCGCGCATGTATAAAACCCAGCTCTCGCGCACGCTTATACTCGGGATCTACAAATCCGAAATACACATTAAGTTCGAGAGAGAGCACGAGGGTGGAGGGATCGTGTTTATCTACAGCTCGCAGCGCGCTGCAAAGTGTTCAAAACGCTCGCGCGTACGGGTGCGTATCAATCATGCCGCGTAAACGTCGAAATCCTATTAGCCAGCCTCTCTCTCTCTCTCTCTCTCTCTCTCTCTCTCTCTCACTCTCTCTCTCTCTCTCTCTCTCTCTCTCTCTCTCTCTCTGTATGCACGAAATCCCGGATTCTCGGAATTTCAAAGTCAACGTCGCTCGCGCGCACATATCGCGTCGAGGCGTCGACTGCACCGCCAGCCAATTTCCGCACCAGGCCGTGCGCCGGTTTAGCGAGTCGCAAGCTTAGCGTGCATTATATCCGGCTTAATTGGACCGGGATTAAATTACGTAACTTCCACTGATAGAGGGGGCTTCGATCGTTTTAGGTTTGCCAGCTTACCTGCCGATCATTCGCTTTTTTCACCTTTATTTGCGGATATGTTGGTTACTTCTTTATAGTCTGATCATTTCATTTGAAGTGCCAATCATGCTATTCGATTCACATCAATAGATTTGATAGAACGAACGATTACGTCAATGATGATTTGGTCAATGTCCAACGGAATTTCCAATTTCAATTGTTGGTATTTAGTGAATTAATCGCACGATTAAACTAATTGGAATTATATCAAATTGCAAAAAATATCCAATTGCGATCAGACATTTCCAGAAAGTTCAAAATTGAAAAAAGTATCAATGAATCTATAAAAAATTCGGCAACTACGTATTCCTACGAATCCTTGTGTAATTCATATGAGCTCATGTGATTCCATCATTCTCTTAATTCAACAAATAAACGTTCATCAAAGTTAGCGCAAAGTTTTTCACGAGCTTTTTTACGCTTTGTTTGAGGTATGGTGGAGAAAAAAAATTTGTAATTAGTAATTACTTTTCCCGTAGGTAACTTTCTTTTTCGAAACGTTATCGTATATAGATTTATCACTTTGACCTCTTGACGAAAAAATGCCATAGCTCCCTTTTTTCCATTTATTTACTTTATTCCAATTTCATAAAAGACTCCTAATTAATCGAGAAGAAAATTTTTGATAATGCACTATGTATTCGCAGTTGAATGTTTCGTTGGTGTATCGGCTTTAGGTACGTTATATAATTTTTTCGAGTGACATTTGATAATTTTAAAAAGTCGAAAAAGTACGCTACCGGTGCCAACGTAATAGTAACGTTATTATTACACTGTAAAAATATAAAAAGGTGTGCTTTTGTATTGCATGGAAAGTAAAAGTTCAAGAAAAATAAGAAATTTGTCTCTTATTATAAGTAACTTATCAATTTTCATAATAGGGAAAACTACAACATTTTGCAGCACATAGTTTTAACAATTACTCACGACAACTGAAATATATAAATTATAATTATATCATAATATTATTATGATATAATTATAAAATATGAGATATACGAGCTCTGACAGCCTTCTGTGATGCAATTTATTATGCCGATACAATAATGAAGAGAATTTTTGTGTAGAATGTTTATCGTAAAAATATTATAAGAAAAGCTTCAAACAGCAAACTGCAAAATGAAATGCAAAAAGCTTGTTACCGAGCTCATTAGTTTGCTCTTCCTCTAAGCCATGCATACTTTTACGTATTTTTCTTTTTATTATTTTTTTTGTACGTTGTTATCTTTTGGAATTACCTTCCTGAATCCTCTTATTATTTCACTGCATGACTCGGAACGCCTTGGTATTTAATTATTCGTTTGAAGTATAGAGAAATTGCTGTAATTAACGTCCGCGTTCCCTTTTTTTCGAAAAAAAAACTCTGCTTTCTCTCTTGGACTCTAGCAAAGTTTCTTTTTTCCGTGAAATAGTAGCAGGCGGCAATTTACATGCATAAAAAGTGATAAACGGACGTTCGCAAAGTTAAAAATAATAAAAGAAATAATAAGACTGCGCGTTATTTTCAAATTCAGACGAGGCACTTAAACAAAGACACCTGCAGATTGTCAAGAAGGAAAGTTGGAGGGGGCTAGTTTGCCGAGCAAACGGCGAAGCTGTACTCGAGGCACCGGCAATCGCTCCATTTATCCTGTGGGCGACGCCGAGTGGAAGCTAATTTTGATAAGTGTTCCGGCTCCGCCGAGCGATTTCTCAAGGAGAGCCATCCCCCGCAAGCGCACCTCCGCTTAGGAAAAGGACCTAAGGGACGACAAGAAAAACATAATGACGAGAATGAAAAAAGCCATTTTTCTAAGACAAATTTGCAGTTAATGCAGTCGTTTAAATATAAAATTCCTTATTTTTTCTCACTATATAATTTAAGATATAGTTTTTACTGTGATATAATATTTTTATCAACTTTTCTCATATGAAAATACATTCTACTAATAATCCGCAGCGATTATTATGGTATCATCCTGTATTATTCTCATATGAAAATACAATGGACGTATATATAGCTGATGAATATTGTATTTCAAGAGAAGCCAGTTGATTTTGCACGAATTCGTGAGATTCTCATGCAGATTTATTGCCAGTGTTATCGTACAAACAATGGCTAATAGAAGTATCTCTAGGTCGCGTTAATTCATTCCTATGAGCGTTCTATTTTTCCGTAATATATATGTTTAGTTTTAGTTAGATTATTAGGCAGAATGTAAATATCCTTAATGCTATAAGTCTCAACTCTAAATTGAATTCGTGATGATAAGGAATAAAAGTCAGAATTTAAACAATCAACAAGCACTTTACTTTATTAATATGAATTACTCTAAGATTCAGCCGGTATAAAAAACCCCAGTCGTAGGTGAGGAAAAAGCCATTTGAATAAAACACATACGAAACAAAACTTACAATAAAACAACAATATTACTTAAAATAAATATAACAAATGTCACGAAGATTATTTAGATTAGAGTAGAAATGATAAACAGTGCGAAGTAATCGTATAAACGCGCTTACATAGTTGGGATGTCGCAGTAATAAATTGAGTGGCCACTCAATGAATATTCGCTCGTTCGCTTACCAGCTTGATGCCTACACAACAAGGAATCGATGTAGGGAAACGTCTTCACTGCTAGCTTAAACGTAGCTCATATGGGTGGAGCCCTCGCTAACGTTTCTACTGGTGATGGATCCAACGGGCAAACTGCCGCAAGGGTGAAGACGCTCCAGAGGAAGTCCCTCTGCTAAGGCAACAGGCACTCCTGTCTTTAGCCCCTGATAAGGCGTCGCTAATGGTCTCGAGCGAACAGCAAAGGTGCACGTCTGCATACACACGCACGCAATAGTTTCGCAAGCACAAATACCAACAAGATTGATCGCACGGATAACAGAGATGAAAGGCGTCACTTATTGAGAGAGAATGTACCTCGATGTACGTCCGGAAGGAACTGGCTACGTCTCATGCCCTTCAGCAACGTGGAAAGCAAAATTGTCTCTCCTCCCTTTTTCTCTACTTTTCTGGCAATTCAATAAGGCCCAGTCAATGAGTCAGGAGGGCGTAGTTTTGCTGGACCTACGCATCGCCCACACGCCTCTCTCTCTCTCTCTCAGGTCATCCGATCCTTTTTTTTTATGATTGAACGAGCGGCGAGTCCGTAGGATTTCCAACAGACGCGCAACACATGCAAGACATTTTTTGCCCCGTTCATGTGTTGAAGGCCTGCTGAACAATTCCTTTAAGTGTCGCTTTCTCCTCTGGTGAGCACGAACTGAGCATACCTTCGACATGACCTGTCAGCTGACAAATTTTCATATTTTAAGCAAAGGTGTTCGAAAACATGCTCAAACTCGGTAGACGCGCAAACGGCACAAACAATATAATTACAAGAAACTATTTAAATTCATAAATCTATTGTAGAAAATATATGCATCGTTTTCTGACCAGATGTTTAATTTCCCAGACTACGCAATGGAATACATTTTTGATAAAGTACATTCCCGTTTCGTCGTTTCAGTGATATTCATTTATTTGAATGGATGCCAACATCTACGGTATTATCAATTAGATATTATCGACACAGATGACAGAATTTGAATAGCGTAAAATGAAAATGAAAATTAGTCGGACGAATCTCGAATATTCATAATTAAAATCGACATATTCGTAATGTATCAATATGAGCCCATCAAATGGGATTCGTCAATGAGTTCTTTGCCCAGCCGCAACATGTCTATTCAAGCATCGTTAAAGCCTCTGTGTGCTTAGATTATATGTCCTATGGATTAAATTAATGCAGCTCGTTCTGAATTTATGAATGTTTCTAGGAACGCGACTATCAGCATATAACGGACGCACTAACCAAGTGCATTTGTTGCAGGAACTCGAGCGTAGTTACACGCTATCGACACCGGGAGCTGGCAGTCCACCGTGCAGTCCACCTCCAGCGCCGGCCGCTTACATATCCAGCGCCAGGGCGTCCTCGCGCAGACTCGCCGCTGCCGCGAGTCTTGGCTTCGGCGGTGCCACCAATTCGCCCGAGCGCGACCCCCTGGGCAAGCTCATCAGGTGAGTGCTTCTTAACATCAAAGCCTCGTAATCTAACTTGTACTCCCCGCTGACAGAGCGATTGGCCGATGCTAATATTATCTACTTGTTATTTCATCCATACAGTGCTTCCAGTCTCTCGATGACAGCACAATATAATTATAATCTGTAAGCGAGCTAAAGAGCTTGAGGCAGAGATTTGCACGTTTCCACCAGAAATTTTGCATTTTTATAGTTATTTTTACATCGTTTTATCGCGAAATATAGCATTTTTTCGAATTTATATCTATCATGAAATTTAGCTCGTCGATATTCCAATTTGTTAGCTTTGTCGTAAAAAATGACAATACTTTACGTCGGAATTTTCAATAATAAAATTTCATACATCGCTGCACAACTATGTTTTGAAAGTAGTGCTTTATGCTACTAATATTTTTACCCTTGCAATCATGTTGAAAATTGCTGGATCTATAAAGCGCAATATATTCAAGTATTTGGGAAAATGTCGGTGACCTCAGGATTGTTTATTTGCGCATCATAGTAGATTGATTGTAACATTTGTAGATACATTTATACAACTGTTGCGTTCATTTTTTATCGGAGTGCGCTTCAACTATATTGACGATAAAATATAAATGAAATAAGAAAAGTATATATCCTGTATTTTTCATTTTACATGCCTAGCTCAATTTGCATATTTTGTTAATAACCGAGTGTGCTTCAAAGAACTAATTAGAAAAACATTCAGGATCGTGTCAGGCGTTTTCAGTAACTTTGTCTTGAATTCTATTGGTCTGTTGACAGCACATCTTGATAACAGGTGACAAAGTAAAATAACAACAATTTATCAAAAAAGTCAACTGACATTTGTCAGCTGGACAGCTTTCCAGATGAAATCGAAAAGCGTTCGAGGTAGAGCGGATCACGTACAAGAAAAGTCATTAAAACTGAAACTGCAAAGAAAGATTAGAAAATGAGGGATCGGATGATTGCAGGTATCTGAAGAGCTTCTACCGGGAGCTGGGCACGAGGGACCTAGCACATCTACCGCAATGGGCTTCGCCGCTGCCTCCGGGCACTCTGTGCCCCGCGCACTTCCAGCCTCACTTACAGATCGTGCACAAGAGCGAGCAGGAGCATCGCCTCGAGAATATCAAGATGGACCAGATTTTCGCCCCGGTTAGGGTGAGACTCGTGACGCTTTGTTTTATTTTTCGTTTTATTTTTCTTTTTTCCTTATCTCTTTTGTTGCATTACTGATGCACTGCTCATCTACTTAGTTGGCGCATTTACTCCTTTTTATTTTTTTTTATTTTCAAAGTTTAATGTCAGCATCGATAAAGCTCACCTTCACTTTGCTTGCAGATCTGTCGAAAGTTCTTTCTTGTCTCAGTATCGCATTTGTATTCGACTATAAAATCAGATCGACTTCGGTTATTGGTTCAGTTGAACCAATCCAAATATTATTTATAGTGTCGTTATTTGTTTTCATTCAAAAAACTGTATTTAAAAGAAACTTTTCTCTTACTTATCATCGTAAACGTATGTATTATTTCTGTATTCATTTCCGAAGGAGATCTTGCGAATTGACAGTAAAAAAACTAATATCAGCATATGAACTGAAACAATAATTTAAAGTCCACTGTAGTAAAAATCAGAGAAAACGCCAACGACTTTCGGTTTGATTTAGCTTCAAGAAAAAAAAAGGTGTGTGCGTATGTGTGTGTGTGTGTGCGCGTGTGTGTGTGGCAAGGCAAGCTGCCGAGAGTATATTCCTTAGCTTACCCCCCAGTGGAATAACTCAAGAGCTTTTGCTCTTTGCTTGGAGCGCGCCTTAACAGTATAAACTCGACTCCATAGAAGGCGAAGCTCAGCTGGCGCTCTCTTGCTCTCGCGCAAGCTTGACATTCTTTCAGCACTGCCACCGTTGCCGGCGACTGCACGAGAGGCGCCTGCGTCTATGTGCTCCCAGCTGAAATATTTTCTTTGCAAACTTTTCCGCAAACACGGATAAACTTGTCCCCGACGAAGACGACGACGACGACCCTCGCTATCCTTCTGTTCGTTAACTTACTAATCAGATAAAATAAAATATCGTGGGTTTTAAATCTACGTCGTGAAGACGCGACGTCCCAACGTGCTTTTGCCGAAAATGCTAGTAGACATTTTTTCTCAAAACAAATCAATAGCGTAATAAAATCGCGCTAAACTCAACAGTGCACGGTTATGTTTCTGAGATCTAATCTAACTCTGCGTAGAAAAGAAATAAAGGAGGAAGAAGTATAGGGCTTGCAAAGGAAATAGCCGAACGATGCTAAACTCGCCTTCGAGGCATCCGTGGCTCGTGGGGGCGGATAGCCTTCCGCCAGCGGCAAGCTGTCGAACTTTTCGATAAGAGGACCGGAAGACCCTTCGGGCAGCCAAGTAGTGTCTATTGGGTGCTCAAAGGGGATAGACAAGTTTGCCGCACTTTGCTGAAATTAAGCCAAGTACCCACTCGTCCGAGTTGTCGCCGAGTCGCCGCCGTGCGCTTTGTCTTCGAATTCAATGGTCAATTGATATATGTATACACTTGTATGCCGATCGACGACTCCCATGCGGGCAATGAGTTAACGTTTCTTTCAAACATTATCTTCCCAATCCCTTGCGTAACCGAATTGTTTCTATGAAAAGGAATGGAAAGGAAGAGTCGTAACGCCCAAATTAACGAGATTTCAATTTTAGCTAAGCGACGGTTCGATTTCGGAGGCGCCCCGACGTGTCTCCGTGGAAGGTGGCCCAGGCAGCGGACGAACGACGCTCTGCTTACGACTGCTCTACCAATGGGCTACGCAGAGCGACGGTCCAGCTCTGGTGTTCTTCGTACCGTTGCGCGAGCTGCGCGGAGGCCCGCTGCTGAACTATTTGACTCGCGAGCTCTTTCCGCGCCAGTGCACCGAAGCCATTCAGCAGGTGTGGCGAACGATGCAGCTGCTGGAAGAACGCGCGCTTTTCGTTCTCGATGGCTACGACGAATGCTCGACCAGTAGTCGCGCCTCTCTCGGGGACGCCATCGATTTGCTCGAGGGCAGACTCTTTCCCGAGGCGAGAGTGCTGGTCACCTGCTCGGCGAGCGATGCCGCGAGCATTGGCTCGTTAGTCGTGCACAGAAGGTTACACTTGGCCGGTCTCGAGTGGCCTCACGTCGAGAGACTCTGCGTCGCCTATTTCATTCATAATGATATGGCAGAGAAGGCCTGCGAGTTCCTCGAGGTGCTTAACGTGCAGCCCCTTAACGTCAGGCAACTCGCTCAGCATCCGCTTGGCTGGATCATGCTCTGCGTGCTTTATCAAGTGAGTCCAATTTTTTCGTTACTTATTTCTTTTTCTCGAAAATCCAACAGTAATATATTTCAACAGTTTATATTTATACCTTTTTTATAAATATTTCATTAAACTGACGTCAGTATGAAAACAGTTATTTCTCCGCGACAATGACTTAAACATAATTTGAAGTAAATTATTTAGTAGCAAAAAATAACGAAACGTATAGTAATTTTGATGTGTCTGCCTGCTCGAATAGGAAATAATTTATGATTTAATAAGTGATGACTGGTAAATCATAATAATTTAGATTTTAGGGATGCTCGTTAAATGTCAGTGTTATTCGGAAATTCATTGTAAAAATAAGTGTAAAAATAATATGGAGCAAATAAATAAATAATGAAGTATTAAGTTACGAAGACACTTGACTAAAATTTGTACGACACGTAACTGTTGAAAAAAGGCATAGTCGGGTCGGCATTACATCAACGAAAAGTCATCATTGTGAATTTCCTTTGTACAATCAATCATCGCGTCAGCACAATCAACAATAGTAAATTACACGAATTAACGTTGAAAATAGGACTGCGGAAACCTGCCGGGTGAGCTGAGTAGCTTGGTGCAGGCGGCGGTGAAATGCATCGTGAAGCGAAGCTTGGAGCCAGCGGTGCCGAGCGACGAAGAGATTCCCGCGCACTGTCGCAAACGTCTCGAGGATTTCGGTAAACTTGCGCTCGCGGCTCTGCGAGATGGGCGCACCTACTACGCCGAGAGCGAGCTTAGACAGCGTGGCGGCGGCTTCGAAATCACAAAGCTTGGTTTCCTCAACAAAGGTAAGCTTATCTCGAGTCCATTGATTTTGTTATTCAATATTTCGAGCTTAGCAGACAAAGTGTTGGCAATTATTTTGTCGCTGTTACATCGACAACTCTTATGAAAATATCGTCAAGATTTTCATGACTTTGACAATATATATTTTCAATATGACGTGGTTATAAGAATCAGTTACAGAAATTTTTACTACCGGGGATATATTTCTTAATGTCTTTATTATTGAGCTTGACAATATATCGCATTTGGAACGAATTTCCGAATTCTGTGAAATGCATAAGTCGAAAGAAAATAACTATAAAAGAGTTGCAAAGTCATATTTTTAAAAGAATGTTTTAAAAAATATACATATTTCATAAGTATAAATAATACCATTTTCAGAATTCAGCCTTTTTGTGACACAGTATGAAATACAACATTTTTCTTTCTTTTAAGAGCTTTTACTCAATTTTCTTATTCCAATAAAAGCACCTCTTCGGATTTCACCTAGTATAGACATTTTTATTTTTGTTCAGTATATTTTTAAAAGAAAAATTGTCTACTTTGGAAAACATTTTAAAAATATTCTTCCTAGAAGTAATACTTTATTTCCAGAACTTTTGAAACTTAATACTCATGACAAATGCACATACAAGTAGTTGAATATTTTATCTGTTTGTCTGTAGCTATATACATCTGTTGTACACTATAAAAAGATTACTTTGAAAAAATCGACTTAAAAATTTTGATAATTACTCGCTAAGCTATGCTTCGGTCAAGTTGATAATGAAACGGTGTTGTTGAAAATGGTGTACTAATCGCAGGAATAGCATTCAGTCAGCGTCGCAAATGCGAATTGTACACGCCGATCCACCTGGTGGTGGCGGAATTCCTGGCTGCGTATTACCTAACGTCAGTGGCGCAGTACGCCAACATCCTACGTCGTGAGCTCGAGGGCCTACCATCGGGCATAATCGGCTACCTGGCGGGACTGCTCGGACCTAAGACGCACCTAGTGCTCAATCAGCTGTGTCCCCTGGAAGTGCCAGCGCGGGCGATGTTCTCACTGCTGAAAGCTGCCGGTGCGTCGGACGGCAACGTGGCAGCGATTTGTCGGCTCGTTGGCGCGGGTCCAGGCTTCGGGCCTGCACCCAACGAACGACCGCCGGCACCGCTGGTTCACACTTCGCCGTTGGAACTGGAGGGCTGGGCGCGAATACTAGAATCGTCGGCTTGCAGCCTCGAGGCTCTCGAGGTCGTGTTTCAAGTCGAACGGGGTTCCGATCCGCACCACCTCGACGAGTTCTTCGAGGCCCTGACTGCCAACGAGAGCGTCAAGCTCGTTAGGATCACGTCGCTACTGGGTCAGGAATTCCCTGCGGACGAAGTGCTTAGGCTTGCCGAGCACGTCAGAAATATCCTTGGCAAGAAGAGGCTACACGAGTTCGAGCTTGTTATCACGTGTCTCGAAGAATCTGCACACGATAGGTGAGTTACCGTTACGCCTATCGTTATCTCACTATTAACAGCTATACGTTCATTGGAATAAATAGAAATTGCATTAGCCAACTTTTCTGTGCTCGATGCGATTTCGCTTTCAACGGTTATTCGCATCGCTTCAAGATGTATTTCACGCCATCCGCCAAGTTCGGTTAGGTTTATTTTTAATTTAAAAATGTCGTCCAACCATTTTTTCCGGTTGAACGTAAAGAATAATTAAATCCGAAAGTCTTGCCGAGCGAAAAAAATGTCGTCGCGCGATAAAAGCCTTTGAAGAGGAGAAATATTATTCAGCGTGAATGCTTGACCAAAGCGTCGAGCGCATTCTCTCAGCGGCGCCTCACTCGTCCCTACCGAGATGAATTATTGCCAGAGGCCACAGAGAAAAGGCCGATCGACTGAGCCGATATGAGACCCTCGGCAGCGGCGGCGTCGAGAATGAGGATATTTCCTGCTTCCTGCCCATCCACGGATCAGGCCGCAATATATGAAGTCTTTCAAGCGACGGCGGCGTCGTCGCGTCCTTTCATTATCTCCTTCCTCGCTCGAAAAGCGCCTTTGCCGCCGCCACCGCCGCCGACGGGCCGCTCTTGAGCGGCCCTGGGGTATACATATAGCTCGCGGATAAGCGCGTCGCGCATTTCACAATACGTTGAGCGATTTTCCTCCTTTTCATCCAGCTCAAAGGAGCTTTTCCGTATAAACAACCTAGTCTGCGTCTTATCAAGCCTCCGGCAGCACACGATAACATGCGGCTAGACGCGACTTCTACACGCTAATATTATAATCTTTGTGCTTTGCCAATTCATAAGCTTTGACGTGACTTTTACGCTTTTTCTTACCTGTAATTATTGTCGGATGATCAGTTGAAAGCTCTGGACAGTCTCACGATATAGCACATTTAGCCTGCATGTTCTTTACTAACGTACACTTGAGTATCAAACAATTGGTAATATAGTTAAGAAATCGCATTTACGACGCGGCGATGTAATTACGAAGGGACACTTTGCATTCACGTTCGAGCTTACTGCAAGTAGTTATGCCCAAGTATAGTCGGACACACTCTTAGTCCACCTGGATTACGCGCGCTCCGCAAGCTTCTATTTGTTGAAACGAGTTCTTCTTTTCTTCGGTAAATTTAGAGATATTTAATGAAACTTTTCGTCGATACTTCAATTTATTGGGTTTTATATGTTCCATGTCGTCACTGAACATACATGGACTTTCTGTTGAATGTTCTTTTGAAATTCACTGACACTGAAAAAGTTATTTGCTAAATGAGTTTCACGGAACTTTTATCGGTTGAAAAAGTAAAGATAAATCGAACCGAGGATTTTTATCGCGATTGTTAATAAAAGCGGTCGCGATTGAAAAGTTTCGAAGAAAATCTTATGAAATGTCCAATAAACTAGTAGTTGTTATATCCAAAGTATACCAAGGTATTGTATGTTCAATCCCGACTCTTCCTTCTTTACACTAATCTCGTCGAGTCCCTAGTCAGCTTCCACCCTTTCTCCTGGGCGGACGACGCAACGTAGCGGCAGGCAGCGCAGCGCTAACTTTGTCGACGCAGGGCAAACTCGGCGAAGTTTCGAGCCAAGCGGCACTTGAGCGTCAGCCCAACGGGACTACCGCGGAGCGCTTATTTATCCATGAGGCCGTGCCGCGACGATTTATCGGCTTCAAAAGGTTACCGGAGCTCTATAAGTGCGAGGATGAAGCTGGAAAATACGTGGCTTTCGAGGGTATACGCTTGGCTTAGACTATGAAAAAGAGCGCAGAGCGCTATACAATTGCAAAAAGACGAATTCAAGAGTCGCACGACGATTCTCGCACCGCCGAACGCTAATCCTGCATAATTGACCGATTTCGAAAGTTCCTCAGAGCTCACTATTTCGTTTAATGTTCGCTTCATGCTCACCAATTATTTGTAAAATATTGATCGAGTTATTTTGGATTTTTGACCTACGTGCTGAAAGTGGCACACCACATCAAACTGTCTTGCCGCCAATTGCAAAGCAGTCGAAAGTTTGTCTTCATGGTCTGCGCAATGAATGCGATAGGGGCAAAGTTCTTGCTATACGGAGTAGCCAAAGACTGGTACGCGACTCCGCTAATACCAATGAAAGGGGAATGAGATGCTGAGAACCTTGAAAAGAAAAAAAGAGGAAGGAACAAAGGACAAAAGTAGGGAAGTAAAGCGCAGCTTCGACAACTCTTTGTGTTCCCTTCATTGTTGCACAATGGCACTTCCGGATTACCCGCGCTTTTTACCATCTTAGTTTTTTCATTTTTATTCTCTTTCTTTCTTGTCTTGCTGCATTTCGTGGCTCTGTTACGACGCTAATGAATTCGCAAACACGAGAAAAACATTTTCTGCGACTTAAATAAAAGTAATCGGAATGGAAAAGCGCTGTAACATTAAAGTTCAGGCTCAAATAGGATTTTACGGGGCTTAAATGCTTTAAAATATGTAATATTGCATTGATAAATATATCATCTTTTTTAAGTAAAAGACCAAATTGACGTTTCCAGTTTGATAACAATTCTCACAATGAAATTCTATACTTATTTAGCTCATAAATATTTAAGCTTCTTCAAGCGAAGAATAAATCACATGTTTACTAAGAAAAAACAAACCTTAAGAAATACTACTGGGTGTTAAAAATAATCACGATAATTAATAACAAGTAAAAAGTTCGATTACAAAAGTGGTAACAACTTGACGTTACAGATTGGAGTGTGTGGTGAGTGCATTGTGTCGCGGTCTGAGCCAGGCATCAGCGCAATTGTCGCGGCTGGTCCTCGACATGAATTTGTCGGGTGAGCAGGTGTCACGAGTATGCGGGGCACTACGTCATTGTCCTCAGGTCCAAGCGCTACATTTGCCGCACCTTGGCTGCGGCTGCGAAGGTCTTGCGTCCGTTGCCAACCTTCTCAAAGAACGGCCGCTTCTTGCTCTCAACCTCGCTGGCAGCTGGGGAGCCAAGAACGAGGACCCTTCAAGCTCGGGCATCAGTATGGGCAAGTCTTTTTCTCTTTTTATGTTTCATATGAATTTCATCCGTAGAATCCGATTTGGCATTGTGTATCATTTATTTCAAATGTTTAAGCAATCGCGAAAATAATTATTGCACTTTTGACCAGTAAGCGCGTCCACAGCGGGATCTAAGTCATATCGATAAAATACCACGGCTAGATATATTTTTGTTTCTTATTGCCATCGCCCCGAACGCGATTATCTGATTATAGTCTTTTACCGTCGAAAGAGAGAACATAAATTCAGAGAACACGTTTAGTAATTGTCGTGGCATCGATCATCATCATAAGAGTGAAAAATATTCAACGTTAGAGATAAAAAATATTAAAAATAAATTGTAATTGCCCGCCGGCGGAGAGCAGTTTATAACCGTCGCACATACATTAAATTGAGACAGAAACGTAAAGTAAAAATTAAAATTTAACTTTTACTCGACGTGTGGCGCTAAAGTTGCGCTTAACGCTGCTTCGTTGTCTGCGCGTGGCAACAGCAGCGAGCGAAAAAAAATTATCCCCGTAAAAAAGTAAAGTCATATAAAATTAATGATACGGCCTACCATCCTCTCTGCGAAAGGGGTTTAAGGCTCGCACTCGACGCGTCAAGTCCTTCAAAAAAAATATACGAGAGAGAGAGTGAGAGCGGCGCGCGAAAGACACTTTGGATTTGAACGTGACGTTACAAGCATCCACTTGCTATTGCTTATCGTCTCTTTTCCTCCTGTCTGTGCTTCTTTCGTTTCGTCTGCTATTCATAACGTTTCTGTACCGAGGTTCTTACACTTGACACGAATTTTTAATTAATTTTATTTTAAATTAACAAATGATAGTTGCTGGTATATGTTATGTTGTAGAATCAATTATTGGTGCACTTTAAATACATGTTTCGTGAGCACATTTTACAAGGGAATATATTATACTTCAGATGCTTAAAAATTATGACATAAATAAAAGTGTTTTAATATCCCATCATTATCAAAGCATTCCAAATCAAATTCCACCGTTAAAATTACAAATGAGTAACGTAAAATGTACTATCAGTAAAAGAAGTCTTCATTTTTCATGCTTGCAAGCTTTAACTCCTAAATCAATAATTACCGAGTTAATTATAGTAAGTTAATTATTATGCGATCACATCAGCCGCCAATACTATGGTTAGGGGGGGGGGGGTAAAGAGTCGGGGAAAAACACTATAGCGAGACGAGAGAGAGAGAGAGAGAGAGAGAGAGAGAGAGAGAGAGAGAAAGACAGGGAGGGAGCGGAAGTGAGCGAGAGAGCGAAAGAGAGGAAGGACAATTTGTCCGCGAGATAGCGCAATTAAGGTTAATACAGCGAGGGCAAGAAAAGAATAAGCCGGAAAATGATTGTTCTAGAAGAGAAACAAAGCACTCGGGCTAAGATCCCATTAGCCGCGAGCAAAGTAAAGAAAAGAGGTAGGTAGGCAGAACTGCGCGCGGGGCTCAAGTTTGAGGAAATATTTGGATTGCTTATATTTTCCAAGTCGAGAGCAATGTGGAGATGGCTTTAGCTCCACTCGCTAATGCTCCTGATGTTGTTATTTAAATTAGCCGGAGTGCTCTAGCACTGCAGCCGGACTGGACGAAAGTCCGAGGCTGGCTGTGCTGTGCAGCTGCGGCGGCGAACGCCTTCAATCCGCTTAAATATTTCAATGGAGTAAAAGGAAGAGCTTTTGGTCGAGGGCTAGCACACACGTGGGAACCGTTTAGCTCGCTCTGGCGAACTACACGGCGCGGTCTACCGTATCGTCCAATGTCCATTTCAGCCCCTTACCCTCGTCCCTTGCCCGACAACTGGCGCTTAGAACTATGTTCCTCGGCTGATTTATATTGGGAATTGCGCGTCGAGCGATGGCCTGTCAAAGTATTTTACTCGCGTTTCAATAACGTGAAAGCGTCTTTCACGAAGTTGCGTCGTCGTGAATGATGGGCAAGTGAGGCTCTCGATTTCGCAGTGAATATAAGGACTTACGAGGAACGCGTTAAGGCTGATGGAGCTACGACACGACCTCGTCGCTCTTGCTGCTGCTGCTACTGCTACTGCTGCTGCTGAGGCTCTTTCACCCCTTGACAGGGGAGACGCCGGCTAGACCTACTTCCTCCACGGTGAATTGAGAATTATTAGCTGTATGAGCAACGCTTGAAAGCGCTACCGCTCGTCTAAATCTTGCTGAATGTCAGAGCGCAGATTATACCTTTTTATATAACGCCTACCAACATTTTCAAAATATTCAAGCCTCCAAAAGTATCCAGACAACCAATTTTTTATAATAAATCTACTTTATTCAAGACTTTGTATACAGCTCAAGTGAATTTCTATGGTATTACGATCATGATCAAGCTATTGGTTATGCATTCCACCAATTCTCGTTTTCATTTCGAACAACGCGTCACGAATATTTTATCAATTTCGCAATTCAAGAGAAAGGTAGAACTAATCATTTGCTCTAACATAATTAACTTATTCTGCAGCGTAACGCATTTATCCTTCGCAAACAAATTACGAAGTAACATTTTGCTTTGGAAATACCAAAGAGATCTGAAATTTCATTCGGTGTTTGCGCTGAAAAGAGATATTAACAAAGTAATTATGCAACTTGATACGTTTAAGGGCTTCAGAGGGAAGCTCTAATTGAAAAGTCTTAGCGGCCGTGTGTTTTTTTATTATAATAAAGTAGAAGAACACGGCGAGAAATTTCTGGGGGCATAAAGGGCGGGGAGAGAGAGAGATGAGTTGGTGCGGCTAGCATTTGGCTGTGCGGATTACACAGTACATAGAGAGAGAGAGAGAGAGAGAGAGAGAGAGAGAGAGAGAGAGAGAGAGAGAGAGAGAGAGAGAGAGAGAGAGAGAGGCGAAATTCAGCTGTGACTTTGAACAAGGAAAGACGTGGTCTGACTGAAACTCAAGCTGCCACTGCTTGCTGCGCGTTTAACGCCCGCGCATAGGTATACGTAAGTAGGTATACGAGTCGGCTGTCGACTCCCGGGTTTACATAGCCCCACGTATAGGTGTGCTGGCAGCGCCGCGCGTGTAATTCAGCTGGCTGTGGCAATCGAGCGCCACAGAGACCTCTCACGCTCTTCGCTCACTCTCGACTCGCGCGCCTCCGGATTTGAATAATTCGCGGCTAATTTTGCCGCGCTACTCTAATTGGCCAGCCTCCTCTTCGGTCTCTTTGCACTTCTCCTCTTACTTGCTTCACGAGCTTTATTTATTCATGGAATTATTCAAATCTTAATATTAGATTAACGAGATCCAATAAAAAATCCTCGTGCGATTCACTTCGTTTCATTAGTACGAATGGAAATCCTCATTTCTCTTTACAATCAGTTCTTAATTATACAACTTATCCTACGTCCCATCGATAATGCTTGGCAGTTTCAATCAAATGTTATAACAGAGATTTTTCTGGTCGTTGCTCCTGCCGCTCCTCAAATCGCACAGCAGTCGCCTTCGACACTCGTAGTTACATGTCGGCCTGACCGGCGAATTTCTATAGTAGTTCCTGTAATGATCGTGAACATTTTATTGAATTATGCCTATGCCGTGCTTGGACTATGGATAGGTTCAAGCCAATTATACCTGTGAAAGGTCTCAAAAAGATCCGTGTCATTCAGCATTCTTGTAATGAGATTGCTCCACTCGCTTGGATGAAGCGATGTCATATTGTAAGCCGTTTTGGCTGAGTAGGCCTTGTACCAGGCAGGCTCGCCATTGCGATTTGCTTCATCGAGATTCGTTTTCCACGTTTCGTGATCGACAATAGTCTAAAGAAACGTGAAAAAAAAACACGGTATTATTTTCCATGTCATTTTTTACTCAAGTCAAAGAGAAATGTACTCTGTTTGTCGTCGGATGGTCACCCTCCACGTAGTAAATACGATATGCTGGATTGACATTCTCCCACGGAGTGATAGAAGGTGAAATATATCCAACATTGACCGCTCGCTTCAGATTTTTGGTATCATAGAATACTTCAAATTCATCGTAATGAGTGTGGCCGAAGAATTGTGCCATTATAGTGCCCTCGTACCTATACAGAATCAGAAAATTACATTCAATCGAATTGTTGATTCTTCTATCTTTGTCAAAATAATGTCGGCATCTACCTATTAATAATATCATAGTAATTCCTAGACCAGACTTTGATACAGTCTCTTCCACCAGGAGGTACGTGTCCTATAATATGAACTTTCTCGCCATTGGTTTCGGCTTGATCGAGTTCGCGAATAAGCCAAGCGAGTACACCTGCCGGATCAGTACTGTTCTTCAGCAACCAGAAATTGTTCCTGCTACAGTAGTTGCCGTTCACTGAAAGGATTCGGAATCCAGGTTTCACTAGAACACTGTAGTAAGCCCCGTGTCTAATGGTCTCCGAGGTGTGTGACGGCAACCAACGGCTCCATTCCCTATCCAACTCGTCATAGAGCCAAGACATGTTTTTTCTTGGCGGAGCACCCTCTGCGCCAAAACTATGCGAGCATTAAATTGAATTACTTGTTAACTCGAATATTGATATTTGATTTTACGAGCTTACCTATCAACCGGACAACTCTCGTGATTTCCAATGGATGGGTAAATTGGGATATCTTTAAAGTATTTGGCCAATAGTTGTGCCGAAAATTTCATGTTCGCCAAATTGTCCTCTCTCGTTTGGTTCCATATATCGTGAGGTGGAGCATCACCAGTCCAAAGTATATAATCAACGTCCTTTGAAAATAAATGAATTTCATAATTTATAAAAGGTTGATTGTGACTCTTCAAATAAATGAAGCATTTAACATTTAAAATAACGAAATTGCGTGTTTTTCAGTGCTGCTAATGTCATTCACGTAGCTCTCCTGTACGTGTGCGCACTGTCAATTTACTTTGAAATTATATTTCACCATGTCTTTATCAATTAATTTGGCTTAATGATTCTTTCAAACCTTGCAAAAGCACAGAATGCCAGGCAGAGCCATTTTCAAAGCAAACAAGATATAATCTGGCTTTTCAGTCTTCTCAGATAACATTTGCTTTTCAAAGCATGTGCGCTTTTCTTTGTATTCTTTGTCGACCAAACATAAATTATTAATTAAACAAGTTAGAAGGATGCTTTTCGTGTCGATCGAAAATTCATCTCAGCAAAATTAATTGTGAAAGACAAGATCAGGCATTTAGAATGCTCGCGTTATTATTATTCGTTGCTGTATTTTCAGAGTACACTTCGATACTAGCGATTTGAGCCTCGTGAGGACGTTTGTGCCCGAGCGAACCGAAAGTGAAGAGCCCGCTTTAGTGTGAGATAATTTTCTCGCACATATATTTTAACTTGCTTAAAGCTTTTTCCACGCTGCAACCCACTCACCTTGTGGGTATCAGCAATATGTTTGAGAGCATTCTCAAAGAGTATCAAGGGAGTGTCGCATTTGCGGTAGTCGCCCCACTTCCCCGCGGTGACACTTTTGTCAGCTGGCTGACCGTCGACAGCTCGACAACACAGTGGCTCATCGCAGTCGACGTTAGCACCCTCCAGGTAGTGAGGATCATAATGAGTATCAGAGATCTGTATGACCTTGAGCACCGGTACATTCTCAAGAGGCGGGCTGGATGGATACTCGGTTAACTTTTCCTTTGATGGGAATGTAACCTTCCATTCGTGACGGTCGTCTTCGCCATTCAAACACGCGTCGTTTAAATAAAAACTGCAGATTTGTGCTGGCCTCATCGGTGATTCTTTAACTGCTTGGACCACATCGATCTTAAAAGAGATATATATAGATTTATAAATTTTTTTCTTTTCTAAATTGATATAATATTTTGAAATGATCGAATCGACGGAAATATTGGTGTCTGATAAGAAAAACGTATTTTATCGTATTCTGATATGACGATAATTCTATGCTATTTGTTTTTTCTGCATTTAAAAAATTTCAAGAATTGTTTTTATCAAAGATGGAGTTGAATGTAATAATAAGTTGAGTGGAAAACAAGAACTTACGGCAATGAGATTCATTACTCCCGCGCAAACTCTCTCTGTTTGAATTTTGAGGATGACACAGCTGATAGTTAACATTTTTAAAACGTCTTCCTCGCTTTTGCCAGCTTTGAGCATGAATCGTCCCAAGTTCACAAGAAACTTACATGCCACACATGTAGCTGCGCTCGTCGTGGACGTTTTAATTTCTTGAGTTACACGCGCTACGTCAATCGTCTTACCGACCATCATCACCCATGCCTCAGTGTTTCCTCTCATTAAAGCTTGATTCATGTCTTCCAGCCATAGTGTATAATTCATCTGTTTGCCCATAACGGTAATGATAAATATTTATAGTTGCGTATAAAATATGAAAATATCGTTTTTGGTACGTACGTTTAGTAGCCAATCTGGGTCAACAGCGTCGGCAATCGGCCCCAAAATATTTGGGGAAATGTCGTGGAGCTTATCATTGATATTATTTTTTGCATTATTTATATCAGTAGCTATACCCGTTATTTTGTTAGCAACATAATCTTTAGTTTTTTTTATACCTGCTGAATGTTATCGAAATATAAATTTTACCATTATCGTTATTTTTATTGAACTATATGTTCATTAAATACATTACTAATAATATTGAAATTACCCAAGACTTCTTGTTCGGAAGCCGCGACACAGCATAAGATTATCAATAGCTTGCCCGCCATCCATTGCTTAGTCAACATCGTAACTTATTTTTTATAAACAGATTTCTGAAACAAAAATTGTTATGTTTCAAAGTTTATTTCATAAACTTTTGCTTTGTATAGAACGTTCACAATTACATCGAAATATTACATTTGGCTATTTGATTATGAAATAAACCAGCTTTAAAGTATCCAAACATTATTTCTTCAACTAACTATAATATGATTATTGATCTTATATAATATTTTATCAAATAAGAAACACTGTTTGAAAAAGTAATAGTGTCATAATATGTATTTGAATATTGATAGAATCAATGCATAATTAAAAAAATTTTGCGATATTAGTATTTTTTTTTGTTGCGAATTGTTTAATACTAAAAAAAGGAATAAACAAAATGGACTTTTTTACTTAACTGTCCATTAAATTGTATATTTTACCAAAAATAATGCTCAATTGTACAAAAATCACTGTAGTGGTTATTCGATGTAACTATAACAATATTTTGTATAACATGCGGATTATCGAGTACCAAACCTTTTTAAATATGCGGAGATTAGAAAAATAAGTGGACTCTATATGAGATTAACATTTCTGAAGGTATTCTTGTTTATTTTGTTATTTTATCAAATATATCTTATCAGTATTACCTATTCAATTCAAGTATTCAATTAGAAATAACTAATTAGAGCTAACTAATTAAGAAAATACTATAGAAAACTCACATTCTTTTGGTTAACAGCGATGTTCGTTACTTTTCATAGAATTGTTACTGTCTCACTGATAAATTAGCAAAGCTTTGATAAAATTCTGATGGGTATTTATACTTTTAAGATGTGGAAAAAATACAGCTGTGTTAACATGACATTTTATTAGCTTTATGTACGCGATAATAAAAGGTAACCATAATTCGTTTATATTGTAGATTTAACCTTGCAATTCTCCTAACGCTTCATTCTATATTTGACCTTCTGATTATTGCAGTGATATGCAACGAAAGTTTAATTAAGCTTACTTAGATTTATTTTAATTTATTAAACATTCTTTTTCATGATCACTACATTGATACAAAAGTATGCTCAGTTGAAGTGTACAAATTGTTTGACTATTCTTTTTTAATTGAAAAAAAAAATATTAATTTGAAAATATTTTTTAATACGATTATGACACGACACATAGCAGTTATTAAAAAACAAACGAAATAATCAATTTACGCATCGAATTATTTAACTTAAATAAAATAAAATTTAGACAATCTATTTTATGCATTATAGTGCGTTTATAATGTGATTTTACGTTATTTACAATATTGCGTACTTCAATTAGAACTCGAATGTAATATATGATGTTGGAGAACATACAATACTTTCAATTCAGTGTAAACATTTAAGGAAAATAATAAGCGCCAGAGATAAAGCTAACTATTGAGTATGAATTGACTGCCCACTATTAAAAAAACTGGAATGTTTACTTTAAAAGATAAATTAAGTTGAAACATTTTTATATACAAACAGTTAAGCATCGTAAATAATGCTTAAAAGGATTCGTAGAATTGATGGGAAATATGATTTTCTCCTTGAAGGATCTGGATCAGGATCAGGAAGCAGTGGCTGTGCATCCAGTACCCTGGGCAGTTTACCAACGAGTAGTCGCTGTTACTCGTCTTTGCCTCGCGGTGCCTTGGCAGCATACGGTGGTTCGAATCGGCCAGCCACCCTGCCGCGACTACCACTAAGTTTGGGTACACCGAGCAGCGGCAACAGCAGCAACAATGGCACCCTACCAAGCAGTAGTAGCAGCAACAATGGCGAACGCGATGCCAGTAGCAAACGCAACAGTGACAGTGTACTTTGCCATCGATTGCCTACGTTACACCCTCCACCGGCTTGTGACATCGTTAGTCATCATAGTAGCGGATTTCACGAGATCTTTAGTGCTATTAGGTCAGTATTTTACCTAGTGTTTACATTTAAGCAATTAATTTTTAATACCTGCAAATATTTTATCAATTTATCTATTTTCTACGTCAATCTCTAAGTTTGAGCAATCGATTGACTGAAATTTATTACTGAACTTCTACATTTAGTAGTTTTAGTTCAATAATATCGATGTTTTTTCAGACGAATCGCTAACTGAGAAATTACACACCAAAAGTTTCCACTAGATTACCTTTCGCGGCCAACTTGGAGAAAATGTTTTTCTGTCTTTTATTTTGTACGTCGAATAACTTTTGTACGCCTTTTGTTTTTAAAAGTGATATGTAAATATCAAAATATTTTTTTAAAACTGACACGCGTAATTTCGTTATATGCAAATAACGAATGCTTATTGTTGCGTTCTTTAAACTTTAATAACTTTGGTTTTCTTTTATTTTTAACTGAGAATAAATTTACAATTTCATTTAGTGATGTTATGTGATATTAAAAAAAATTTACTTTATAAGTCGTTTGGAAAAATGTCATTAGATATAATAATATTTAAGCTCGTATAAAATAATATTGAAATTAAAAATCAACATTGCTCTTCATTAAAAGTTTCAAAATAAATGTCTGAAATTAAGTAAACCTTTGCATAAATTATTATACATCTAGCGAAAGTATTTAACTGTAAACTTTTAGTACTGGGCTAAATGTTACACAGAAAGTTCGTCTCAAGTAACTTCATCCATCTAAGACTATGAATATTTATCTTTCGCAATAATACGTGAGCTTAAGAAAAGTAATTTTTCCAGTTAGCAAATAAAACAAAACTATCTACTATTTTTTCCAACGGTAAGTGGAAACACTGTGAACGCAGTGTTTGAGAAAGTAAAATATTCCGCTAGCCAAATACTTCTTCGTTCGTGTAAAATCGAGAGTACTTGTAAAAATATAAAGAATATCATAACTATTTTGATTATTTAAAAGGAACGCCTCTTTTACGCGATAATATATAGGTATTTCACATTTAGAGTACATTGAATTTTAATGGGCATTGAAGGTACTATATAATGCAAGAGGTGTCACGAATGCATGGAATTTTTAATACTCTAGCATGTAAAGCGTAACTCCTCATTTACATACATCTTGTTAGCTATGCGGATGAGTCGCGAACGTGCACTTGAATGCTTATCAAAGACAACCTTATCGTGCTCTCAGCACCCTGCTGTAAATACATGTATCTTATGCTCGTACAGCTTGTCATCTTGAAGACTGTAGCAGAAGCTAATATACGAACTAGTGAATATACCAAAACAGTCTCTTTGGCATGCACTAATTCAAATTACAAACTAAACCAAGTAAAATCCATTGCATAACTCAGCAAACACTACTGCTCTAAAGATTCTTTCAACCCAGTCGCTTTCTGAATCAGCTCGCTTTATTTGCAATTGAGGCAAAAATATAATATATTTATTAAGTTTGACTTTCGAGAAGCTAGTATACCAATTCACGGGATGGCAAAACAAGAATAGGAGAAACTCGTAAGCGAGAAAGTGAACGTTCACAAGAGAATGGAGCAGATGATATTTATGCGTGCGAAGCTCGCTCGCGCTATCTCTATAGTCGAAGTGTGTCTCCTGAGTAGACTTGTGAAAGGGTTTTCGAGAAAACACAGAGAGAGAGAGAGAGAGAGAGAGAGAGAGAGATGGAAAAAACGAAACCGAGGCATTGTTTGGCCCTTAGCGCGCAGAGTAAATGCGCAAGGTCGAGTGCGATTCTTATAGTCCAGCTGTTTCGGGATATCTCTACCTCTCGTGCGATCGCCGCAGCGTATAGGTACGGGCAACAATGCTTCGCCCTATACCGCTTACGAGCTTTACGAGTCCATCGGGCTTAGCTTATCCTCCTAGCGCATTCATGGCATCTGTTCGGTATTTTTCTTGGCTCGTTTTGGCCTTCGTCGCGACCGTACCGAATGGAAAACCAAGCTCGCGAGCCAATACGGCACACGTGTTTCCGCCGTGTCTCGAAAATATGCATCTGCAGATCGACTGCAAATTAGGTGATCGATAGGTCGACGGTTGGACAGTAATTAAACTTTCTATATCCGGCGCAATTGAATTAGCTAATGCGATAGAGCATCCGCTTGTTTACTAATAATCCATCGTACCGAAAACTCCAACGCCAATACGCACGGTAAATACATATAAGTAATCATCATGCGGATAATAACATCGTATTATATGATTATCCTGGTATGTTGGAATTGGATGCGGTGCGATACACAAATTCGCCATAATGGACTATTATTAACGAGTAGTTATTATCTAGAGCATTCGACGCTTCAATTATCTATGAATACGGTTTAAATTCAATAAGTATTTTTAAATGCAGATGTATATGAGAAAAGAAGATTTTCAGGGTAAAAACAAAGTGTAATGATTACACGTTTCAGTCAGTCACTGCTCACAGTAGAACAGCTTGCCCGTGCGAACGTTGAATAAAATATGGTTTACAGAGAACCAAACTGCAAGCTGCGCTCGCTGAACGTAAGCAAGTGTCTGCTGGGCGGCTTGGACGCCGCTTGCCTTGCCGAGACGATAAGACGCGCACGTAACCTCGACGCAGTTCGAGCGGCCGGAGCTTCAAGACCTGCCGACGTCATACCTTTGGTGGTCGCCCTCGCCGAAGCCCCCTGTTTGCAGCTACTCGATCTCGCTAGTCCACGTCTCGCCCTCGACGATCATCCCTGTAGATTATTGTGCCACGCTCTTGCCAGAAATTCCACGCTCAGGCTGCTCAGCCTCGAAGGCTGGACCTTCAGGATCGAGGTAAGTTTCCGATCTCATTTTAGGATAGAACAATGATGAGCTTTTACGACATGGAATCGCGATGTAGCCTCGTAAACTTTACGTGCGCAGACAATGTTGAATATAACTTCATGAATTTGAATCCCAAACGCTTAGCTTTTACATTTCATTCACTCGAAGCAATAAAAAAAAGTCTCTGGTATCTTCACTTTATGAAATCATAAATTCGATCGTGACGTATATATATATATATTTTCGATCCTTATGAGAGGCCAGGCTATGCTGCCGTGATTTCTCAGTAGAGTGCAGACGTAATGATACGATGCGCGCGGGAATAATAACGAAGTGCGTACGTGCGCGCGATTCGCTTGAAAATGCGATTCGATGAACTAAATTGACGAGCTTGAGTATCAGCGTGGATAAAGCTCGTCGCGGTCGGACAGGTAAAGTTGAAAAGAGTCCAAGTGCTGTAAAAGCCATTTAAGGCATTAAGAGGTACAGTTTGGGACCAGCGACGACAACGTAGACACTTGGATTAAGATACGTACAAGGATAGTCATGCCGGGCGGGCTCTCTCGATAAACTCGCTCGACGTTGCTCGTGTATTACCGATAAATTAGAGCCAAACTACTTTGCTCCCGCCAGCGCCCTCGCCTGATTAACGGTAATCGGCCTTTGCGCAAAAGCATGCCCCCCCCCCCCCCTCCCCTCCCGCCACTAATTAGACCCACAGCTCTCGCTACTCTACGCGAACCTCAGTCCTTAACTCTCAACCTTTTTATTCGTCAATCTTTTCCACTGTCTTCGCACTTTTACATTGCCTTTCGTTTTACCGTTCTTTAGCCCGAAGCTTCGTTAAAGCTCGCGCGCACTCTATCGATCGATTTATATCGAATTCGAACGTTCATATTTATTCATTCATTTATTTTTAACGAAGTTGTCGTGTTCTCCGACCAAGGATTGCGCGAAGAAAACGCGAATACAATGTTCTAACTTGAAATAATGAGTAATTAGCTGACAGTTACTTGAGCATAGTGCCGCGAGTTTACTTACACGCCTATGGGTCGGCCACAAACGCATATCGCGCCAGCGCGTGCGGGTTATGTGCTCTTGCACAGTGTACATATACGGTCTGCACACAACAGGTGTACGCGATGCACGCTCCGTGGCGGTTCGCATTCATGCATGTGTAAAGGGAGCCAAGAGAGAGAGAGAGAGAGAGAGAGAGAGACAAGAGAGAAGGTGCCCCGACAAATTATTTATAAGGATGGAAATTTTCCGGCTCTTTCATTCCTCGCGAGCTATTTTCGCAAAACTCGACGCCCAGAGTCGCATACCTAATCGCGTCGTTTTTTTTTCCTTTATGACTTAATTCGTCTTATCTGCCTCGGTCATGTTTCATCGACCGCTACTTAAAATTTCTATGTGCGCCCACTCCATCTGGAAGAATAAACTTCATATATCTCCTGTTTACGTACATTTACTAAAGATTTACTAATAATTACTAAAAATGCCGCAGTATTCGATTGAGAAAGACTGCCTCATAAAGTTATTTATAGATGTCGCTGAAACAATCTCAGCGATACAAATTCTATGACAAGTATTATTGCTCCAAATACATCAAATCTACTCGAAATGATTTTTCATAAACTAATTGCAAACCGTGAAGTATATAACGGTTCTGCATTCGGTCGAAATTGTTATACAACAACGTGTTTTTTAAAATGTGATTTTATCATATTTTCAAACTCTGACCCCGAAGCCGACGAAACTTGTTGGCCTCGGGGCAAAGATCGCAAAAACACGGCAAGAAACCTGGTAAAAGGCAACGGGATAAAAAAGAAAATTACTGCATTGCACTTTATTGTATGGACTTGAAAATCCGAGGGTTGAGAACGTAAGGTAGCCGTGATTTTCACATAAAAGCCCACCTTTGTCGTGCCTTTCATCGTCAATGGTATTGCAAAATTTACGAGCACTTCTTCTATCTCTTCATTTTTCTTCTTCCTCTTTTATCGCGCTTCCAGCAACTATATTTTATAGGCTAGGTACTTTAAACGATGCAAAATGTCGATACACAGAATAAGGTGTATAAGGGTATCGATATAACGGTATCGGCCAAGACTAGACTATATAATTTGAGAAGGAAGATGAATTTGCACATGAATTTAAAATATTCTCATTTTCGTCGATATCGGCGAAGGGGAGTTTTTACAGCATTTTTTATAGCTTAAAAGTCTCGCTGGCCACTTAGATGAAATGAAATCACGCGCGCGTATCTTGACGACTTTACTCGCGAACGGCCAATCTGCGGAAAGCCGACGTATAGATGCGCACGTCGGCGGGACAGGATCTGAAAATTGACGTGCTTGCGTGTGGAAAATACAAAGATATGGGGCGACATCGTACGCCCGCACAAATCTCTGAAATTTCCGACAGTCGCATTTAATCTCGCGTTTCCCCAATGATCCGCCATGCCTAAGCATAAACTCGCGCTCGATGTAAATTGGCAAGTGTGGGCGCTATGTCTGTAATATTATACGTCATGCCGAAGTCGCTCAACTGCGATCCGAGATCCGAACGCCTCACCGACGTGTCATATCCTCCGGTCCAATCATTTTTTACTCTGTTCCGACTGTTTGCCTCCATTCTGTTGATTTGACCACTAAAGTGTCTAGATGACATTAAATTACGAATAATCGGCTCAAAGTTATCCTACAGGGAATGATGAATATAGCGGAAACCTAGAGCGTTGGTTTTTCTCGATCTTCTCTACTAAATCGGCTTTTTACTAGATATTGTAAGCTGATAAATATGTATAACATCTCAAAGGCACATTTTTGTATCAATATCGAAGACGAATTTAATTTAATGGAAATAGTATCATATAAATATTATTGAGTTAGAATTTAAAAGAATCTAATCAGATTAGAAGTTTCAGATTGAATCTCTGGTATCAAGTTGAAACATCGGAAAGGAATCAAGATAAAAAGAAAGTTAAATTGAATTCCAATAACGAAAGTGTCATCATATTACTATCGTTATTAATTAAAGTTTTGGGAAACTGTTATCAAGTTTTATTTTATCAGTTGTCGATGCAATAAAAGAAAAAAAAACTACGTCACGTACGTAGCGACGAGCGAGTTTATCGATAGTTCATTTATTTTTGCGTTTGCTTTAATTTTTTCAAGTTCGTGCGTCGACATAAACTGCATTTTTTGTTCTGCCATGACGACGATCGATGCGCAGTAATAAATTACAATGGCACGTTCTAGCTGGCAAATGCGTTTGACTTGTTTTATTTTGTGCGTCATCGGTCGCGCTCCGCTGCCATTTGCCAATTTCCCGCCATTCGGAAAACTTCGACGCTTGAGCGTGTTTCGCATTTCGCCTCCCAAGCTTCGGTTGTTATTTTTTGGAGAAGCGACGACCGTGCAAAAACTTGCACGTGTTTGCGCCATGGTTAACGCTAGCGCGTGGCTAAGCTAAATTGATGACTCGTTGCAAGAACGTTGTTAACGTGGATTGCCGTGCCTTATTAGAATTTTAGTATCCGTTGAGAGATTTTTATTCCTTTGATTTCAGTCGGTTATTCTGTTCATGAGTAATTTTGTTTTGTCGAATATTGGGTTTAGAAATTACAATTGCAACAGTTTCAAGTCGTTAAGTTACATTCGATATCGTTAAAAGCTAAAAAAGAAATGCAATCGCAATTTATCTGAAAATCTAAAAAATGCTCGTGATGTATAGCGAAGCCATGAAATTAAAAAACGATGTCCGGATCGAGTACCTTTGAGAGGACGTATAGACTATGAATAATTTTATGCATTTTTCATTCACCACAATAGGAATCGAGGGGTCCCGCGTCGAAAAATCCAATGGCATAGCATAACGGATAGAATGCACGAGATAGCCGTAGCTTGTTACTGGCCGTTATAATACGTAAAGGGGTATATCTATCGAGGGCAGCGAACCCTTTTCCGGATTGGTTGTACGCGGGACCCGGAGCCAAATAAATGAAGTCTGGGCTTGCACTTTTGCTGCAATACATCTAGCCGGCGAGCGAGCGACGCTGGACTTATTGTGCGCATAATCCGGATGCCCCGAGTCTCGAGCGCGTCCACCTTTTCGCAACTGCAATAATTCTTCCGGCGGCGGGTGCATTCATCCCTTGGACGTGGCAGTAATCAGCGCACCGTGTGTAACTCGCCGAGCAACTTGCTCCCGCGCCTCCTGTCCCTTGTTTTTCTTTTTTTTTTCCGCTCGCTCTTTCCTTTCTTCCTCCGAGTAAACTTCTCACTTCCTCGCTTCGACCTTATTTTCAAAGTTTTATATTGCCGTGAGCGTACTGTGGGCGACGCCGGAAATCCTTATTAATTCTGAGGGATTCTCTCTCCTCCTCTCTTTTCTTTATTTTTTTTCGCTTGCCCGACCCTATTTAAACTGGATTATTCTTGCTTGTCCCCCCGGCGCCAAAGGGCCACATCAAGCAGTGAAGCAGTCGCCAAATTAAAAAATTCCGCGAGTCCGCTTGGTTAAAGAACAGATTCATACTTAATTAAGAGCGACATTTTCGTAATGAAATACTCTTTGCCTCGCCCTCTGCGAGCAAAGCGCGTGTCGCACTCGGTGAAAGTGCAACATTGCCAGAGGGGCGCGAGACGCGCTTATGCGCACGTGTAGAAGGATGTGTTACGTATGCCACATTGGCCACGTTGAAATTTCGCGGCGTCCCGGATTCTTCGCTTTGACTCAAAAGCTTTTCGTCCGTTAGCTGATAACTTATCTTGTACGTAGAACGAGTCGCGTGTGTGCGCGCGCGCGCGCGCGTGTGTACTTGCGGCCTTTGCCCTTTACACGTTAGCACGGCATTTTTTTCTCTCGAGGGCTTTCGCTTGAATAACGCTTACAGCTATCGAGTTAATTTCCGCCTCGATAAGGATCTTCTCGACAGCGCCGTATACTCGCCGTATACTCGAATTTTATGTCGAATGCTCGCGACGAAGATACCAATCAAATCGTTATACACGCGTGCTTATCGCTTGTTCAATTCGCTTAACTGTTTACTTCAGATGCTCTATTCATTACTACTTTTTAATTAACTTCTTTTCATTCGAATTTGCGATTCAAGTGTGATAATGTCAACAGAGGGCTATTCGACGAACACCTTGCATAAAATATCCATCATCTCGAGCACGGAATTAACCAATGGAATCTCGCGAACAGAGGCTAAATTAGCATTTTCACGATGTTTCGACGTCGCTGTTGTTACGACTCTTCCGGTCGGCTGATTCCCAGCTACAAACAAACGATCGCGTATCCCCAATGGAGCAGTATTCTATATAATGTCTCGAGGTTAAGTTGGCCGCGCAAAAATCAACACTGCCGGCGCAATCATTATAAAGCCACGCGAGCTCGAGAGAGCGAGAGAGAGAGAGAGAGAGAGAGAGAGAGAGAGAGAGAGAGAGAGAGAGAGAGAGAGCGCTTATCCAGGTGGATAGTGCACGCGTAACGAGGTGCGAGCTTGCTGTATCCACGAGGCTTAGTTTTCCATTAAAGCTTCATCATTTGCTTTCGCCACTGTGCGCGAATACTACCTGTACCTCGGTCGACTCCCTTTTGCTCCACGTATACACCCTCAATGCGAAAAGTTCATAACGCCGCCTCGAGAGCTTCGCCGTGCTCTCGGCAATTTTCCCGCGTCAAAGATTTTACGCGCCGCTCCCGCGCTCGCTATCTCCGAAAATGTTGATTAAAAATAAAAAAAAAAAACTGTTTTTTTTTCCGTTTTTTGAAAAATTGCTCCTTTTTTTATTTGTTTACTTGCTTAATTCGCGCGGGATTGATCGAGTTGAATTTTTCGCTTATTCGTGCACACGGTATACTATATTTGTTGAGCGTCGCCAGAATGAAACTATTTGTTTTCTTTGGAGATATACAGAAACGAGATCTTTAATTTGGATTTTGGAATTGCGCGTTAGGGATATCGAATTCCAAAGAGCGGTGCCTTTATTTAAACACCGAAGGTTTGTTTGCTTTCGCGGATGAACAAAAGTCGAAGAGAGAGCCGATAAAGCGTACGAAAGGAGAACAATTCTTTGTAATCCCACGTGTAATACCATGAAACAATTGAAAGAGAAAGGGTCTCCGGGCGTAGCGCGCGCACGAGATAGTCGGCGTAAGGTAAAAGAAAAGCGATTGAAAGTAAGAAATCACATTAAACAAAACGAATAGCCGCCTGGGATAAGAAAAGGGATAAGAGACAGCGTCCTGTCCTTTCTCCTCCAAATACCCAGACGGCAGCGAGGGACTCTCTGTCTCTCGCACAGGAAAGAAGAAATCAAGGATCTCGCGTCTTTCCAGACAAATTCGATTTCGCGAGACACGTTCTCAATTTCAATTGCCTTCTCGCGCGCGCAAGCACGCCTCGATCCTGCACTTCGGCCCACCCCCTGCCTTCTCGGAGAAAATAAACCACGACGAAATCTCTTAGTTCCCACCTCTTGTGACTTCGTGTCGCCGACTTCGGCGCCCACAATGCATTAGCCGCGCAATGTTCGAAAAATGTCTTCGTCGCAACGCGTCGTTTTTCCTTTTTCCACGAGCTTTCGTTGCCTCGTCGCACCTGACCTTCGCGGAGGGCTACGATTTTTCCTCTTTCTCCACTTCGAAAACGGTGTTCCCCAAAGTCAATTTACCAGCTGCCATGCCCGCTGAAAACTAAAGAGGACATTGCCGTTCCACAGGAGTCGGAGACGCTGTCGGTGTTCTCGGAGCTGTTGCGCTGCACGAACGTGCGCGAGCTGAGCCTATGCAACGCCCGCCTGCACCTGGCCGTCCACGAAGGACCGGTATCACGGCTGGGTCGACGCGACGACGCCGGAGCCGAGTTGCTGAGGGCCGCGGCGCCGCCCGCATGTCCCGACGTCGTTTTCCTACGACTGGCTGGCTTTCAGGTAATGTTCTACTTCCGAGCTCTCGCGGCGAGGCTCCGGACGTTGCCAGCGATCATTTTTCGGTACGAATGCGCGCGCAGCGCGCGAAAGTAGACGCTTGCCACGTATACCAAGTTTCGAATTTCGCGCGAGTACTTAGAAGTTTACAGCTCGCGAGATATAATTTGCAATTCGAACTTTCAAGTGCCCCTTGCGCGGCTTCTCTCCTCGACGTTCAAATGTCAACGGTTCCACACTCGAACTTAACGCTCTGCTCTTGCTTAAATTAAACAAGAAACTTTAGTTTAGTTGAACCTCGGCTTCCAGTACGATAACGAGATTCAAAACAATCTAAATGACGAACTTTATGGCTTGCCGCGACAATAGGCATTTTATACGAAATTAGCATTACACTGGTGCCAAGTAAGAAACAATACCGTGCTATCGAATATCATCGTCTGTTCGATGAATTTCGGTAGTCGAGAATACGCGCGTTTAATTTCACTAACTTCCTTCGCTTTCACGTATTTAATATCAAGATGACGTACAAGAATTTCCATATAAATTACATTTTATTCAATGTTAAATTCGATTGTACTACTTATAGAGATAGAAACGCATAATCTAAGCTGCACAAGATTTTCTATTGCTAAAACATTACGATTAAATAATCTGCTTGACGTAACAGTAAACAAGTTGTAATCGCCGACAGGAGCAAGCCGTCAGACTTTTAATCTTTGTAAAATTATAGTGTAAATAGCAATAATTTAGTGAACAAATGAGTTGATTTCTCGGACGAAAACGAACAATACGATAAGAATATAAAATCCTGTAAAACAATCGAGAATCTCTGTTTTTATTTTGTTTTACTCGTGAAAATGTAAAAATTGTACATAAAGCCGTTTATTGTTATAATAAACGTTTTTACAGTAATAAGTTGCTTCCGTGAAACGGATTATCGATAGCTACATTTTCAAAGAGGATTTACGTTACTATGAGTAGCTGCGAGCTGCCAACTTGCTCGACGTTTCTGTACTGCTCTGCTACTTCCAAATCCGTTGCATGCAAACAGCGTATACACGTATTCGTATAAAACAGTGTGAATTTGACTGCAGCTCGGTCGATGCGTCCGACGCCAAGTAACACTTTGCGGCTACACGCACGGGGTAAGCCTCGCGACTAAGAATTGGGCCATCGAACGACTAATGTGAAGCGTTTCGTTTCGACGACGACTGATATGTGCGCCCCTCTCCGATCGCACGTATTGCCGGATCTCGGCGTCCGTCAAAACATATGGAATCATAAAAAATTCTCGATGCGTTCAACCACCAAAATTCATGGCTACATATACGTACAATCGCGACAGTACGCGCATACATTATGCAACTGGATTTACCCGGATCTCGGTGCAATTTGCGATTTTCAACCTCGTGCTCAAGATGTCCTTGTCCTTATACGGCAGCGATTGTAAATTATAGTATCAAGTTTAGTGAATACTATAGTTTTACGAACAAACTTTCTTGAAAACTTTTACGAGTAGTTTGCCGTTCATCTAACGACTGACTCACGGTCGTTTTCAAAAACTAGAGAAAAAAAACAGTTCGTAAGAGTTCGACAATTTTATTGATTGTAATCGTGTGTACAGTTAGTCCGAATACTGTTATCAAATTGAGTAATTAATATTACATATAATTGATAAGAATAAACACGTGTCCCGACAACACTACCTGGATTTTTTATATCTAATAAAAATCGATTCAACTCGTTGTAAAATTTATCCGATTATCGATAAAAGCAGACGCAGATTACACCATTGATTTGTCACAAAGACATTGGAATTTCGTCGCTATGAAACTTCAAACTTCTATTGAATCATGTCGCGTTATGAAATCAGTAATGATCGTAGCAATCACATAAAATTCCGTATATCGTTGCAGTTCGCGCACATATCTGTGATCGTAGATCAGGTCATTCATGATAAAGCAGGTCATGCAATCGAAAAACAAACACGAAGCACATGTTATCGTGGTTCTTTTTAACAGATTGATTGTCAATTAACCAAAGCTACTGCACTCAATATTCCCTTATCTTTGTTAAAAAATCAAAAGACAGCAATACATAAGTAAAAACGGAATGCTCGATGTGCGAACGTTGGAAAATCCAAAGATTGATGAATAGTCGTGAAAACTCATAACAATTGGCTGTTTGTTGTAGGTGACGGTGAACGACAGACTAGCACTGCGCGGTCCACTATTGCTGCCGTTCCTCGCGGGATTCACAGGCCTAAGCGAGCTCGACCTGTCGCTGGACAAATCGACGATCGGGTGCAGCAACGCCAACAGCAGCTCTCAGCTGTTCATCGACGACCGCATGCTCGTGCAATTTTTCGGCTGCCTATCCACGCACTTCCGCGGTCTACAATCGCTGCGCATCAATTTCTGGCGCATCACTCTGGAGGACAGCGAGCGCACGCTGCGCCAAGTGGGCAAGCATTTGCGCAACTCGAGCTGCCTGAGCTTCGTGAAAGCGTCGGGCTTGTTCGTCGCCGACGCAGTGAAGAAAGCGCGGGTCGAGCACGGGCTGATTCAAGCCTTCCTCGCCAATCTCGGCTGCCTGCAGTGGCTGTGCTTGGACGGCGTGGAGCTGGCGGAGATGCAAGCCGCGAGCGTCGGCAAGTGCTTGCGCGAAAGGTTCGCCGGCACTCATCTGGAGGTCAGCGCCAAGGACGTGCATATGCGCGCGCTCAAGGCACTGGTGTCTAGCGTCGAGGAGGGCGGACGCGCCGAAGTCCTCTATGCAGGAGGGGCCAGTTGTCGGCTGAAGATCACCAAGTTGCAAAAGAACGCCAAGAGTCGCAAAAAATGAGACGGCGCCACTCATAATTGTTGCCGATTTTCATTGTAGCGCTAATCTCTGGACGGAGATTGCCAAGCTTTCTGTGATCGATCGGACTGCCCTCCGAGTTTTATCACGAGCTGCAGGAGTGTGGACTCCCTCACGCAGAGAGACCGCAAGTTTTCGCACTGAATTACGATCATGCACGAATTTATTATACTCGACGAATATCTGAGAGGAAGCTACGCTAAATCGTTATTCGAATGCCTCTCCGTGCTTATATTTTTCATCAAAAATGAATTTGCAATTACGTATCATCAGCCAACATAATCCTTGTTATTTATTAACGTGGCGTACTCGCCTATGATAATAGCATTTTTTTTATCACGAAAATATTCTTTTTCTATTGAACGGATGGTTAATCACGATTTTATTGATGCAAATGATAATAATGCACGCATAATGAATTGTAAGTTTATCGTTTTTAATTTTGTACAAAAGTGTTATGATAATGTAAAAAGAAGAATTAAATTAAAAATAGCTTGAGCAAGATGGGAATCATACAAGTATATTGTAAAAATGATTATCTCAAATTTAAGCTACTTTTCTCAATGTCAGAAGTTAATTTGAAAAAAAAAATGTTTAAAACATCTGCACGTAAAGACGCAAAACGTGGCTTCCAAATTGTTTCTAATTTATAGATGATTCGTTTCTAAAATCAATTACGAAAATTTTGCTGACATTCACTTTGGAAAAATTGTATTTGCTAGTTTTCATTTACGTTTTTCATTAACAGTCTTACTCAACAAAACAATGAGTTTTTAACGTATATAACTCCCTTGTTTATAACTTTAATCAATAATGCTGAAATATAACAGAAAAAAATCTATTGCACATTAAATTCGAATAAAATAGTTTTCCTGTTGTTAAATTGCTTGTAAAATGCGACCTTCAGAGTAATTTATTAATAAAACGAAGCTATAAGATTGATTCTGAATAAGTTATTAAAAAAAATAATAATAATCAATTAATCAGTATGTTTGCATTAGTAATATTGAAGAATCGTAAAAAGTTGCTAATTGCTAAAAGAATTGTTGAAACATTGAAAAATTTTATAAGTAAAGAATAAATGATGTAATATGTAATATGTATGGAAGTGTAAACGAAACTTAAAGATATTGAATTTAATAAAGGATTGATAACATAATTAAATTTATAAAATGACTGCCAAATAACATCGCAATGCTCACTTACGAAAAGATGAAACCGATTTACTGTTATTAGGGGTTTAGAAAAGAAAGAAATATTCATAAGGGTATTAACTGTTGATAGATCGTAAGAACGCTACGGCGTAAATTTTCCCTTTCGCTAAGAACGATGATATTGTTACACGAGGAAATCCACTTATTACAAAAACAAAGTAAATAATATGCAAAACAAAGTTTTATAATAGCGACTGAAAAGCTTTTATAGATAAGAAATATCGTCATTATCACCAAGATCCATTTTTATGAGCAACCTACTTACGGAGCACTTTTTATTTTTAAAGATAATAAAAAGTTTACTGATAGTATGTTCTTTTCTACGACAAGCTACAATATGTATTATTTTTACACTTTTTGTCATATATTTCAGAACACAAATGTGGTGTCATTTTTCTGCGTAAAAACACGAATAAAGTAATAAAATATAATATAATATAGTAAATCTTGGTAAACATTTCTAGAACATTGGATTTTTCACTTTCTATTCATAGCCTTTTTTACTTTGCATTACGGCTTTTTGTATAAAAAAATAATACGATTTCTAATTCATATACCTCTATTGGATGTTATGCCAGAAACAATATGATACTCAATTTTCTACCTTGTTATAAATGCGAAGTGTTTTTACTAAGTTTTTAACTTTTTAAAATTTATAATTATACAATTTCGTCTGACTCCTCAGGCGTAGTAATACAGAATGTTTGGCGAATGAAACGAGATCATTGTAAAGACAATTATTTAGAGACCAAAGCTGAAACATGCAAGAGACTAATCAAATAAATAAAAATAATTAAAACATTATTCGAGATCCTCTTGTGAACGAATACTTAGCTCAAGCAATTTTATTATAGAGTATTTATGTATTTATATGTGTATACATATCTTCTAAATAAATGTAATATGTATTTAAAATTTACTTCATTTTTATTTCTTTCACCTTAAGACTTAGGAAAACGGTCTCTGATTCGAATGCTATACTTTCTAGAGAAATAGTGGCGGACCGCTTGTTCACCTGATATCACACCTGATATCATACCTGATATATACTCATGAGTTATCTACTATTTAGATGTACCGATAAGTACAGTTTTAAATAATGGTGACGAATAAATAATTACGCCAGAGTTTAAAAATTTTTCGGGAAAATGCAACTTTCCATCAAAATTATACAAATAAAAATATCGCGCTTGCTAAATTGCTTATTGCTTTTCTGAAACGATCGACTCAATCAGATGTTTGCAACGTTTGTTTTACTGATTTGGTAAAAAATTTTCTCAATTATCACATCAAATTTATTGATAATTAAAATAAATTTATTGATAATTTACTTGTTAGTAAATTATAGCAGTTAACCTGTGGTTCGAAAAATATAAGGGTCTACATTCGTAACTATTAGTTGCCACGCGTATTTACACAATAATAATAGAAATGTAGACTTACAGATAAAGCGCACTGATAATTATCGTATTAGAGGCAAAGAGGCATTCACCCGAAGTAGCCGTATATTTATGTGATTACGAAAGGTTAAAAATCAAATAAAAAAGCAAGTTTACGTCACATTAATATTATTAAGAAACTTTCTACATAAGAAGATATCGGTCTTCAGATCAATACCATGGTCAAAAAATAAATAAATAAATTATTTATTATTGTACTAATATTGATAATATATCCAATCTAAATATTTTATCATTGCTCGTATCTTGAACGCATGTTGACCAAGCAATTAGTTTTCTCACTTCGAAGATTTCGATACACATTCGATGTCCATTGCCCGATGGTTCCTTATGTAAAAAGCCAAGAGTATTGAAAGTTTAGATTATGGAAATAATAATTAACATGATATTTTTCATAATAATGGTTTATTATCATTTAAATAACAAATTATAATGTGAATATTGAAATTTATAAATTCTGACAAAAAGTCTTCGAATCAGCACTTCTACCGGTTTTTAAATCGCATAATAATCTTTTTTGACATTCGCTATCGCATTTAGGTCTGACAGGTGTATCTCTGTAGTAATTTCTAAAACAGTTCATGATTCATGTTCTTAACTTTCGAAATTGAGTAAATAAAACCCCGAATGTGTATTAAACTTACCTATGATAACTATCAAAAAGATTGTCGTCTTTGGACATTCTAGTAATTAGATTGTCCCATTCAGTCGGCATCAGCGAAGTCATATTGTAAGCTGTTGTAGCAGTATAAGCTTTATACCATACCGGTTCATCGTTATGGTTTGCGTGGACAAGGTCCATTTTCCAAGTCTCATGATCTACGATTGCCTATAAATCGTACAGTAGTATTAAATAATGGTTGACTTTTTTCATATCTCAAAATATTATAAAATGTTGTTTTTACTCTATTTGTATTTGGATGGTCACCATCTACGTAATAAATTCTATATGCAGGATTTACGTTTACCCAAGGTGTTAGAGATGGCGAAATATATGCAACATTCAGTGATCTTGAGAGATTTTTAGAGTCATAAAATATTTCAAATTCGTCGAAATGAGTATGTCCGAAAAATTGAGCCATTATGGTTGCCTCGTATCTTGATTTATGCAAAAAAAAAGTAAGAATTAGGTCAAATATGCCGTAACAAAGTAAATACCAAAAAATCATGTCAATATTGCCAATATTGTCAATATTATCTTTTATAATCATCTGTCTCAGTAACTTTTACTTTTCAATACATAATAAGATAAGACAATTTCTATACCGTGGTGGCGTGATTCTCGAACAATGGTTAGTTCGTGTTATTGAACCTTCGCCAAATCTCCATTTACAAATGGTGTTTCACAAAATATAAATTATTACTAGCGAGTAAAAGGGTTTCACCCTTGCGTGACCTTTTTATCGAGGGTTAAACTATACCGCCTCATTCAAATTAACGAATAATATTTTTGAAAAAACCATCTACTGAATACATTGCTTAAGTCAGTTGTATTAGTTTCAAACGATATTGAAGCTTAAATTGCAATTAAATATATGTAAGATCACCAAATTAATGTTCATTTCTACGTATTCGGAGGTGACCGATTATGCTTTCTTCCGATTTGACGCTTATACCAAAGTTTCTTTCACGTATTCGGCTATGGTATTTAACAAAGTCACATAGTAGGATACGTCTCAGCAAAGAGGTATAATATTATAGCAATAAATGGTTTTTAAGAGACGCTCTTACAATAAAAAAAATCTTACTGTAGATCGTGTAATTTTGTAGATTCTATATATGTAATATATAATATTACAAAATATTTAATATATCGTCAGCAGATATAAACTTTGAGACGAATTATCTAATTTGGTTAGGCAGGATTTTAGCGAAAAACGACTTACTGCATTGAATACTTTTGAAAAGAGGTAATCTTACAGTAATAATCCAGTGTTAAGACAGATTTCATAATATTCAGAAATATTTCGCTTATCGCAGACGCCACTCACAGATATTTGACAGTATATGAAAGCATAATGAATAAAGAAATACTGTACCTGTTGATGATGTCATAATAATTCTTAGACCAAACTTTAATGCAATCTGGTTGACCAGGTGGCATGTGACCAATAATATGAACTTTTTCGTGATTTGTCTCAGCGGCATCAAGTTCACGAATCAACCACGCTAATTGACCAGCTGGATCGGTACTATTTTTAATCAACCAATAGTTATTTTTAGAACAATAATTGCTATTTATAGCAATGATTCGAAAGCCTGGCTTCACAAGAACAGAATAAAAAGCTCCGCGTTTAATCGTCTCTGAAGTATCTGATGGTAACCAACGTCCCCAGTCTTTATCTAATTGATCATATAACCAGGACATATTTCGTCTAGCTGGAGCTCCTGACGGCGCAAAACTAAAGCAGAGTGAACATTTTTTCAAGTTAAATTTGGTCAAAATACATTGAATCGAAATTATAAGTCTAGAAACTTACGTATCCACAGGGCAACTTTCATGATTTCCCACGGTTGGATAAATTGGAATTCCTTTGAAATACTTATTCGCCATTTCATTAGATTCACGAATAATTTGTAAATTACTCTCTTTGGTTTGATTCCATGTGTCGTGAGGAACTAGATCACCTGTCCATATTATGTAGTCAATATCCTTAAACAAATATTTTTAGTCTTTAATGATTTTGTCCGCGAGAATTTGAGTAATGCTAATGATTATAGTAATACTATACAGCTTTTATAAAAGGTTCATGGATGTAATAATATTTATTATTTTAAGTCTCGTAAAATAAAAAATATTTCAAAACGCGTCTTATTACAGATTTTTTAAAATATAAAAATAACAACCTTGTGTGTATCAACGATATGCTGAAAAGCATTCTCAAGAAGAATTTTCGGACTGTCACATTTACGATAATCGCCCCATTTGCCTGCTGTCGTTGCCGGGGAGGACGGTTGACCATTTGTTGCTCGACAACACAACGGTTCGGGAAAACAGTCGGCATTTGCTCCTTGCTGGTAGTAAGGATCGAAGTGAGTATCCGTGATTTGCAAAACTTTTAATTTCGGTGCATTTTTGGGTGGTGGTACAGTCGGATGCTGGGCCGGCTTGTTTTTGGATGGATAAGTTAGCCGCCAATCATGTCTTTCGTCATAGCTATTTTTACAGGCTCCTTGATAAAGAAAACCACAAATTTGTGTTGATGTCATTGGTGATTCTGTGAATACTTCGATAATGTCCAGCTTTAAATTAAATTGTTCGATTATTCTTAATAGCACACCTTATCATGGGCAATAGAGAACAGTAATCAAATCAACAAAATCAATATTCAGATTTAGTAAACATGAATAAAAAATAAGTAAATGAATATGTTAATAAATATGTTTTTCTGCATTTATGATGAAACTAGCTATAATTATTAGTTATTAATTATTATAGTACATTACTTAATTAGTGCGGGAAAGTAGATTCTTTTCTCGTGTGCTTTTCCACTCTCGTTTCACTTGGGCGTAAATCTCTCATGAAACAAGAATCTACTTTACCGCACTAATTAGGTAATGTACTAAATTTCATTATACTGAAGAAAGCTTATCTCGAGAATTGAGAATAAAAAGATAAAAATGATTCGAGTTTAGAAGGCGAGAAGATCATCAAAAATTGTATATCTTTCAATACTTTCTCCTTTAGATTAAATTTGCATAGAAACTAATAAACAACTAAACATACCCCAGTGAGCCTCATCATTCCATGACAATATCTTTGCGTTTGATTTTCCAATACCACGCATGCTTTTTCCATGTAGTCGATAATTTGTTCTATACTTTTACCGCTTTTGATCATATTTCGAATCATGTTGATGGCAAACTTACAAATAGAGCAAGTTTTCGGATCAATTTCGTATGTCGCAATATTCTTTTTAACATCTGATTCAATCATTTGACTGACATATTGGATCCATTCTTCGGCATTTTTCGTTCCTAATGCATTATCCATATCAATGACAAATCGAGTATAATTCATCTATAAGCCCAATATTGTACGTATTCATGAGATGTTTATCAGATCAAAGTTTATTGAAAAATATTCTGACGGCTACTCACTATTTTCAGCCATGATGGATCAGATGAATCGATTACAGGATCAAGAATGTCATTAACATTTCTTACTATATCTTTTGAAGATGTCCTGGGATATCCTGAATTGATAGAAATATCGATATATTATTTTTAATATACCAATAAAACGCATAATGATTTAAGAAATGTTTCTATTTAACGATACTTAAACATTTTAAATGGTTAGTGTTATTGAAATGTTAGTTTATTGATAGAATTAAAAGCTTTATTACGATTTGAACGGTTGTCGATACTTATTCAATATGTATAATCGCGCCAATGATTAATGTGATACTTTGAGAGATTGCTCTTACTTTTAATTTTATAGTAAGATATAAAATTAATATTATAATTTTCTAGTTACCAAACACTGCCTGTTGCAAAAAGGCAATTAAACAAAGTAAACTAAACATACTGCCATTATGCCACTTTTGCCTCAACATTATTTGCTTTGTTTTGCAGAAACCTGAAATTTAAAATAAATGATTTTTCTAACTTGCACAAGCATCATAATTCAAGAAAGAGAAATCACTAGTGTGATAAATTTCATGTAGATTAAATATCGGACATGCGTTACTACACTGCCCGAAATATCAAAATGAACCTTATAGGTACAACTTATTAAACATCCTAGAAACTACCCAGCAACTCACACCAGTATACAAATGTCTTCAAATTTCTACTAGAAACAAAAAAAAAATAAACATTTTGTAATAGGCTTACTTCTAGCTTATTCAAACTCTTAGTGCTTTATTTAATTTTTAACATAACAAGCATATATAATATATATGTAAATTTTATATGACGCTAATATTCACCCAAAGGAGTGTGACAATGAATAAATAAAGAAAAAGAAAAAAAATATTATTATTACCTTCACAAAATGTCAGCTATATACTACAAAATTAATCAATTTTCCATTCTTTTTGAAGCAAAGAATATTGGGTACGTTGACTGGAACAATATTTTATTGATATCCTTACCTTTCTTACCGCCTGACTGCGATTGAATAATTGTTGACTGTTAAGCGCAATGTCACTTTCCACCATCGACTCTTTATCTTAAATTCTTTTTTTCGATAAATAGTCGATATGATCACTGTGAACAATATCTCTTGTGCATGAAAAAATTGTTAATAAATATTCCATAGGTCCAAATCAATTAGTGCATGAAATTTAATTTCGAAATTTGTTAAAAAAACTTATCCAAAAATTAAAAATAAATATTTACATTAGTAAATGTCAATAGGCTTATGGAAATTGATAATAAATACTTGCTTGCAAAAAGCTTTGGTTTGGTATGAATTAATCACAGTTAATGCAGATATGCGACTGCGCGGCGGGTAAACATTTCTGATGTCTCTCAACAAACAAGCGATCTATGCGGCACTGGCTATTATCTTGGAACACGCTCTATTAAACTCTTGGTTTCAGACAGCATGAATTCGTTTTTTTCTTTTTATTGGAGTCATTGAATGCATATAATGGTTCTATAACAATTCTTATTTAATCGTATCTATTGTCGGTTCGTATTCTTTTTAATGTTATAAATATGCATCATCTCAGTAAATTCACATCTAACTTTTTCTTTTAATGTATCTGAAATGCATAGATTTTCAAAATTGATAACATGTTTATTATTTATTGCACGTTCAAACAAATCAGAAGTGGTATCGTTATTAATTAATACTGCGTTCCTGCTCATTGATTGTTATCCTTAATTGCCAGCCGATTAGAACAATGTATGATTTATCACAATCTGCATAATTAATCTAATAAACAACGTGACTTTTTGACATTTTGTTAACATTGTCTTTACCTAGTCTAATAAAATACGAAAATTTATTAATCAGTTCATGTATAACACTGCATCGTTATTATGTGATAGGATCGATTTCAATTCGTGAGAAAAATTTTTAATGTATGTGGAAGTACAATAAATTTCTTATCTTTATTATTTTTTTACGTTATGTTAGTATAATTTTTTCTATTGTAGTAAACTAATGAATCGTAGATCGAAAAAAGTACAGCTGTATTGCTAAGCAATGTAATGTTTTATTTTATCAATTTTTTTAGTCAATCCCTGTCGAAAATAATTTATACATAAAATTATAACAAATGGAAATCATCAATTAGTAATATTTGCTGACGGTTATTTAAAATTTATAACCGTTAATAAAAGTGAGACACTTTAACTTATAACAATTATAAACAGTTATTTTCTGTTAAAAACTGTTATTATTATTAAATAATGTAATTAAATGTAATTAATGTAATGTAATGTAATGTAATTAATGTAATGTAATGTAATGTAATGTAATGTAATGTAATGTAATTAATGTAATTAAATAATGTTATTATTATTAAATAATAATAACAGTTTTTTTCAGTTACTAACAGTTATTTACATTTCTTTCACCAAAACAAATTTATTTTGAAAAATAATAGATACAAATAATTATAAATAATTGCAAGTAACAGTTATCATCAATTCCGTATTGGGATAAAAAATTCAAAGCGTTTAAAATAATTCTTAACAAATCATATATAACTATTTATTACAGTAGTAAACAATTATTTACAATTTGTTAATTGATTTAAAAACTTTCATAACTGATAAAAAGATGCATTACTGAAATATGTCTATAACTGTTAATAACTGTATATAATTATTACTGACAGAAAAAAAAACTGTTAACAACTGCTATACGTGTCTAAAATCTGACGCTTATTAACTATTTTAAATTGCAAATAACTGCGTGCAACAGTTTTATACAAAAATTATTGCCAACAAGGATTGATTTAATTTTAAAGAATTCGTGTAAATATTTCACATCGCTTGTAACTATTGTTTAATGAATATCCGATTTTGTTCTTTCTTAATGAACTCTTGGGTATTTCATCGGTTTTTGCATTTGTTATTTTTGCGATTGCGTTCATTTATTTAATGATAAAGAGCAGAATCCGATTGAGCTGTCACGATGTAAAGTTCCGAATAAAAGTCATTGATTTTCTTAAATAATCGACTCCTTTCAATTGTTGATAATCCTTATTCAAAGCTAAACTTGACAATAAAAATTTTCAATAAATTTATATGTCCTATAAATAAATATAATTAGAGTGTATTAAGATTACTTTATCGTATTATTTAAGATTAGTCCGTTGAGAGAATGTGAGTGTTTTTAATGACTACAAATGGAGTTTTTTTTTTAATTCATTTTATTGATTGAGTATAAATCGAAGTAAAACACCACGAGTTTACCTTCGATTTACTTATAACAGTAACCCGCGTAACTACATTCAGACAATCAGATCACGAGTAAAATGACTTCACTCGGCAGGCCATCACTTTTTTATATAGGATCGATCGAAAACTACATCTGCATAAATCTGCATAGAACGCTTCTTTATTCAATTTTGAAGTTATACATTTAAAAAAAATTGGTAATGGTACTTTTACGAAAATTATTCACAAAAATGTGTTTAAGCATCGATGTCTCGGCACAATGTCATTCCGCTATAAATCACTTCTAATTTTTTCTAATCAATGTTGTATTTAACAAATTGGTTTTCGAAAATTTTAAGAAACTTTACGATTCAAATTACTCGTTTCATAACTTTCGAAATCGTAATTTTTTTAAACCATAAAAAATACTTATGGATATCTAGAAAAGACTACTAAAAACTTGACGCTCAAAGAAATATTTCCAAATCTTTTTGCTTTAATCCATGTGTAACTTTCAAAATGCAAGCGAGTTGAACTGATCACTTTTTTCGTTGCTAGGAGAATGTCCTTAAATGAGATCGATATCGCTCGATATCAGGGCAAACTACTACCTACAACCTACTACATAGATACGACTATATGGACACAACGTGAATCCCGTCGGTTTATCGGAAAAAATAAGATAACGAAGTATCGGAAACGCGATTTCTCGGAATATATATTATCGGAACTAAAAAATATAGTAGAAAAGTTAAATTACGTAAACGCAGAAGTTCGGAAATTATTTTTTCGGAATGTCGAAAATTTTGAAAAATAATTTAACATTTTCCAAACTTCTGCGTTTTCGTAATTTCATATTCCTATATTTTTTAGTTCAGATTATATATATATATATATATATATATATATATATATATATATATATATATATTTTTTTTTTTTTTCAAAAAATTGCGTTTCCGAAAATTCATTTTCCAATAAATTGCATTTCCGATATTTCGTTTTCTCATATTACAATTTTCCGATATTTTCATTTAAGATAAACTGACGGGACTCTTTTGTAAGGAAGGAAAACATTTGTTATAGATTTTAATACGACTCATGTTTGAATCAATAACTTAACATTTGTTTACTGAATTCTATTACAATAACTTTTATTTACATTTAATACGTACTTATAATTTACAGTCATTAGTAAAAAATGCTCGAGTTACAAAAATCCTTCTACTTAAAATAATTGTCATAAGTTGTTAAGCTTTGTTTGTCTATAAATTTTGGCAGAGATTCTTAATATCACTACTCCTACCACTTCTAAGATTACAAAGTAATTCCTTTTGGCATATAACATCACATCTCGGCCTGACTGGTGAGTCTCTGTAGTAATTCCTGTAATCAATTGTCAACATTACAATCTCTGTATTTAAATAGCGCGATAGAGAGAGATAATGAAAGAAACTCTTACCTATAATAAGTTTCAAAAAGGTCCTCATCGTGAGACATTCTAGTGATAAGATTATCCCAATCTTTGGGTAATAATGAATTCATACCGTAAGCTCTTCTAGCAGTGTAAGCTCTGTACCATATAGGATATTCAAGACGATTCGCATCAGTAAGATCTATCTTCCACGTTTCATGATCTATAATAGACTAAAAAAATATAAATTTATTCATTAATTTGGCCTTCAATATTTATAGGTGCTCGAGTTACATTAATATATAACTAGTTACGTTTCATACAAAACGCTAAATATGTCTACTTACTCTAGTTGTATTTGGATGATCTCCTTCTACATAATAGATACGATAACCAGGATTAACATTTTCCCATGGCGTGATTGAGGGCGCTATGTATCCAACATTGAGTGGCCGTTTGAAATTTTTGGTGTCGTAAAATACTTCATATTCGTCGTAGTGAGTATGCCCATAAAATTGAGCCATAATTGTTGCTTCGTACCTACAAATAGAATCAGTGAAAATACAATTTTATCGGATTTTGAATACAATGCCATGTTATTTTCAGTTATCTAACATCTTTATTTACTTGATAATCTTAATAAAAATATAATAAAATTGTTATCGTTGCATATGCAATTTGAATAAGAATTCCTTAATACAAGAGTTGTTCAGTTTCAATTTGAATGTGGTGTACACAATGCATGTTTTACTTGCTTACTTGAGCTATCCAATGCTTCATTTGAATAAAATCTTTATAGTTATAATCTTATTGGTGCATCAAACAAATCGACTGAAGAATCAATTATAAAAAACCAGTATTTCTAGTTAATTGATCATCTCTTTGAAGTCAAACATTATTTAATACAAGAATAATACAAAGACCATATCTTACCGATTGATAATGTCATAATAATTTCTTGACCATACTTTGATGCAATCCGGTTGTCCCGGTGGCATATGACTAATTATGTGAACCTTTTCGCCTTTAGTTTCAGCGTCATCGAGCTGTTCAATCAGCCAAGCCAATTGACCCGCTGGATCAGTGCTATTCTTCAATAGCCAAAAGTTATTTTTGCTACAGTAATTACTGTTCACAGAAATCAATCTCAAACCAGGTCTCTGAAGCACGGAATAATAAGCACCGTGCCTAATTGTTGTTGATGTGTCATCTGGTAACCAGCGCCTCCACTCTACATCCAGTGCGTCATAAAGCCAAGACATATTGCGTCTTGGTGGAGCTTCCAATGGCGCAAAACTACAATAAAATCCAGTCATTAATACTCGGAATTCAGCACTCTGTGCATGGTGCGGTTATAGAATTACCTGTCCACTGGACAACTCTCGTGATTACCAATCGATGGATAAATCGGTATATCCTTGAAATAAGTATCCATCAATTGAATTGTTTCCCGGATAATCTCCAAGTTCCCTTCTTTTGTCTGATTCCATGAGTCATGAGGAGGAATATCACCTGTCCATATAATGTAGTCAATATCCTGAAATTCAAATTGATATTTCTCATCTAGGCTCGCTTGTCAAAAACATTCCAACCACGTAATTCTCGAACACTTACAAAACGTCAAGATCATCTTGACAGTTTTTGCAAATATGTTCAATCGAATACTATATCTTATGCGATTCCATTAGTTGATTCAATTTATGTTTTTTAATTTTTATTATTTTACGGATATCCAGTATTTTAAAGCACAAGACCAATAAAAAAAATTCAAAGAACGCCCGTGAAGCTAATGTGTTGAAAAAAGTGCATGAATAAGAACCATAAAAAGCTAACCTTGTGCGTTTTAGCAATATGCCTGAGAGCATTTTCAAGAAGGATTTTCGGAGTATCACACTTGCGATAATCGCCCCACTTTCCCGCGGCATGCGTGGGTGACAAAGGAACACCACTGGTAGCACGACAGCACAGTGGTTCACCACATTCGGCGTTTGCACCTTCAAGATAGTGTGGGTCATAATGTATGTCGGTGATTTGTAGGACTTTGAGTCTCGGTGCACTCGGGGGTGGTGGTACTGTGGGATGTTCTGCAGGTTTTGGTTTTGACGGAAAAGTCACCTTCCAATCATAACGCTTGTCAATGATATCCGGACAACCATTCGGAAGAATGAAACTGCAGATTTCAGCAGTTGTCATTTGCGTCTGGTTGAACGCTTCTACTGCATCGGCCTTCAAAGTAACAATTGCATTTTATGATTGACTGCGTAAGTTCATTTCACTCGAAAGAGCGCAGAACATTTTTGAAATTATAGTCTTCCTTGTTGCAAGACAAAGCAAGCGTGTGCATGGCTTTAAATTACAGTGTTGCTGTACAACGTATATATAATTAATGGGTTATTAAATCAATTGTTCATGGAAATGCTTCTACGTATAAGAATCAATAATTGTGCATTTCCGCACATCTAAATAATGTTGACACCAAAAAATAATATTACTGCTAAGAATAATAAATTTGGAATAAGTATTCACGATTCATATACAATTGCAAGCATTAAATATACAATCTAAAACTAGACTTACGCCCACAAGATTCATTATACCAGCGCAAACTCTCGGAGTTTGTATGCTGAAGAAACTGCAGACACCCGTAGCCAGTGATACCACCTCCTTCACACTTTTGCCGGATGCAATCATAGATCGAAGGAGATTGACGCCGATTTTGCATGATGGGCATGATTCTTTGGAAATAATAATTATCAAGTTGGTACACTTTTTTAAACAAAATACATCAGTACAGGGGATAACTAATAAATTTATATATCCTATTTTTCAACAACACTACCGAATAGACACAGAGTTTTAATAATTTGAAATAATAAAGTTCCACAGTTTAAGATAATATTGTATCAATTTCCGTACAATCAAATGAAGCATAAATTACACACTCACTAGTTTGACACAACATTAAAGTAGTTTTAAAAAAATGATAAATTTCACTATATACAACCGAAAATTTAATGCCTCCTTCTGGCATCGTTTTGAAATTTCGTATTGAATTACTTAATGAAACTTACCAAAGATTGATTGACCCGAAATGTTAGAGCAGCAAAAAATCAACAGTAAACTTCCTAATAACCATCTTCGGAGTAGCATATTATTTAGAGTCCTTGCCATCTATAGTCTGAAACGTAAAAATATTAGTCCCTTTACTTTCTTCGTTTATCACAGATGAGTAACGTATTTGTCATACAATCATGGGAAAAAAGTTGACAAGCGCTGAAGTAAAGTGTGCGGCAGGAAAACAGAAAGTTTACTCGCGAGATATCTCTCACCTACTTCGAAGGTAGAATCGTTGCACAGAAGCGGTCACGCACCGAGTAACTCGCTGCGGCCTTCCAGAACCCAAACATTCGGAGGACGCGCCTCCCACCGGCGCACCGTTAACTTTCACAATTTTCTCACGCGTGTTTAACTACAGTTTATGTTTTAGTGATATAGTTTCATACGTGCCGTTGCAGCGTCTTTTGTTTCTTATTTTCGCAAAAATTTGCGTTTCATGATGAATTCGTAAAAGAATTATCTTTGAATTGAAAGTCGAACTGCTGTGTTTCGAAACAAGTTTGATCAGATGTACATATTTAGTATTTAAATAATTCAGTGAAATAAGGTACATTCGTTACATTTATCAAGATCGATATCTGTTATGTAACAAGCCTAAAATATTCCCAAATCAATTTAAATTCAAAATCTGGCAAATTTGAAAAGAACATTCGACTCTACTTCATCTACACGAAATCCAACTGATCAAATAGCACATCACGATTTAACTACGGGAAAGTAGATTCTTGTACACGAGGCGATGCACGCTATTTTTTGATTTTATAGTATTTTGAGCGTATGTTTTTGGCCAAGTCTGCGGGAAAGTTGCACTTTGCGCACGGAGTGTCAAAATAGTTTTTTCCTGAAGAGGTCAATGGTCAAACGGTATATTTCGATCGTGATAAAGTGGAATGCCCACTTCACTTTGTCCTATTTCAACTTTTATGTGTACTTTGATTCTTATGACAATTCCATTCGAATCAATATTTTATATTTATGAAATTACACAATAAGCGTTGCAACACTGAACGATACAGTTTCTTTCACTTTTTTCACAACTAACCATTTTACGAATCGTTTTGTATTTTTATTTATTTGTTTATGTTAAATAAGCTTAATAAACTTTCATCAATCGGCGTGACGTTAAATATTTTTTTAATGACTGATAGTCTCTTTCGTATCAAAAGACAATTCTTTATTAAACATTAATTTAATCTGATGCAATAAGTAATATAATAAATGTTTGTATATACTTCTCTATTGTAATTTAAAAATACAGTTCGATTTTTGTCAAAGAATAGAAAATATTGCCGTCGTGCAATTTTCCAATGAACATTACTGACATCGATAAATCGATTTGAATATTAAATAATAATCAATGAGCATTTGATTAAAGTGTTATAACCGTAAAAATATAATCTCGATCAATTTATTACTTTAAATTGATTACTTTTCCTGAACATTTTTTAACAATTTCAATATATCAGAAATAACAAAATAATTGTGTTTACGCTAACATAATATATGGAATTGGGTTGAAACGTATAAACCTGATCCACAGCTTGAAAAGTAACGTTTAATAGGAAATGAAAATTAGCTAGTCATGATCGGCAAATACATGCTCAATCCCGACAACGTATTTTCTAACAGTCGTCAGTAAGACAATAGCATAACTCCTTTTGCGTAAGTTTTTTAAAAATGTTGATCTACGAAGCTCTTAAAAAGTTACAAAGGTACGTGACAAAAAGTGACACAATAGCTTCTTGACAAGCATTGAAGAATTTCTCATATATTTTATACGCTGACTATAAGCAGTAAACTATGTACAGAGACAATAAACGAATATTCATCTTTACTTGCACACTAAAGATTGCTGCGTATAGATCAAAGAAAATGACATTAACTTTCATACCCAAACTTGTTTTCTCGTAAATCACACGCTAAAAAGCGTAGGACAGATTGACGACGATGAAGGAGATGAAAGCGATGTTATTCTGTATGGTTCCCGTGCTACAATGACGCAGAGCCGCTTGTGTGCGCGACGACTCGACGATTCGTTCAAATACTGCCAACACAGGAGAAACGCTGTAGTGACAAGCTCAGCTGCTGCTGCAGTCGACTAAAGCAAAGCAACAAAGGTGCTCGCACACGCGAGGTCGTAAAACACGTGTGACACCCGTCTCGCTGGCGGCAGAACTGACAACACGTGCGCATCAGTTTTAATCCCGAAAGGACTTTGCTCGTGATCGCGACGACGCGTGCCCCCTCTTTTGCCAACCGTACGAGTTTCAAATGCTTTATTCGATAGTTTGTACACAAATGATTTGTCTTTTGCGCGCACGCTGCCGTCCGCGAAACCGCAGCTTCAGAGATGATTATTTTTTATTTTTCTACTCTTCCGCGCAAGCGCTCATCGGTAATATGACATTGAAACATATCTCATTATCTTTGCAACTTGAACTACGATAAACTATAATTTATAACTTTATTTGTCTCTTGAGGACTCGATTTCGAATATTTTTTAAAAGCATATTGATTGCGAAACAAAATTAACTTAGAGATCTCAATATGTACAGTAAATATTGATGCCAATTATCCATGCACGCTAAAATTATAGTAAGATCGGAGATTCTTAATTATTTCACAATAACTTGTTAATTAATAACTAAGCAATTCAGTTCATTATTTATATTAAATTTTCTTCGTAAAAATTATGGAATATAAATATATATACTTTTTTCTCAAATATGTTACATTAAATACATACTTAATTTTATTTCATGAGCTATAAACTACGTAAAACACATATTAAATATCTAATCAAACTATAAATTCAATGAAATATAATTACAAAAAAATAACGTTATTTATAAGTTTACCGGGACCGTTTTTAAATTTTCAAAATCATAACACAGAGCTTTTATATTAGCTAATTAATGCTATCTACAAAATATCGTATTCGAAAAATTCATGTTAACATTTTTAACCAATTATATTTTTCCTGTCTTTTGGAAGTAAAATATGACAAAAAAATAGTTGATAAATAGTCATCACTTCAATTTGCAGAAGAAAATTAATTTCGAAAAAGAATTACACCAATATTTTTTTGGACAGATGAATATTATACAAAAAATAAAATTTCATACTTATATCAATTTTTAAATTTGATTTTAAATATAAATTTATCGAATATATAATCAATTATATGACGAAATAGACGTTGCAAAACATTTTCGAATTGTATAGTAAGTAAATAAACTTATTTTTCACATATATCTCTTATAATATACATTTTCCTCGTAGAATATGAAACGAAAAACATCAAGCAATGAAATATGCAATAGAGCCATAAAACTATGTAATGACGCTACTCATAAATAAGATATTAATAAAATGTTTTATAAAAATTTTTTGGACGTAAATAAAAGATATAATCGGCTATTTTGTCTCAATTAAGAATATTTTGGCGACGTTATATAGTATTATAATAAAATAATTTAAATTATTTATAATGTATATAATGATGGAGTATGTGTATTTATAAATTCAAATTTTAGCTTACTACTGAATGTATGTGGTCATAAAAATTAAAAAACTAACAGCAAACAGTCTTTCCAAGATATTTTAATATCAATATTTATGAAAGTAACAATACTAAAAAATCACAAATCATAGGCAGTTACAGTAAAAATCGTATAATTGACTAAAAATGTATGTTTCTAAATTTAGTGCAGCAACTTTTAAAAATTGTTTATCATGTAGTACAAAATGTATAAATTATTTTATAAACTGTAAGTAATATAAAAATCATTTACAAGTAATTTTAGTATCTATCTCGTACTAAAATTAAACATGGGAAAAATTATTTATTTGGACTTTATAATCATAAAACTGCACTAAACCTATAAATTTTATCATAATTACAAAAGAATATTGCAATAGATAATAATAATTATAATAATAAGAAAATTGAATTATAGATTAGTATTTCAAATACAATCACTTATATTTTCATTCAACTTAGATAAATTTCACAGAAAGATTTTATATAAAAGTAAGTTCTACATTAGTAACTTCATATAAACACACGCAGGTATGTTGATTTACAAAATTCCATCACAAATACGTCAACAAACTCTCAATAAATTTATACAGTTAGAATTCTTTATATATACAACTTTGTATATTACAGTCACGATGATGAATAGTCCAATTGAACTGTTAGCTGCTTCACACCAACCGACTGGAATATCATTTGTGCGTGGGCCACAACGTATTTTGGATCAACAGTTCTAGCAACTTCTAGTTTTAAACAACCTATATAAGAGTCAGAGGATAAAGTCCAGAAATGTGGTTCTTGAACACTATAAACACCAGCCAGCTGTGTGACTCTATGATAGCACTGAGGCAAAACATTATCTAATGCACAAGGCTGTCTTTGCATGAGAATCATCATTGAGTCTCTAAGTAAAGGCAAAACACTAACAAAAATTGCAATTGCAATAAACATAGAACAAATTGGATCAGCAATCATCCAACCAAAAATTTGCATTAATATAGCAGAAATGATTACTCCAACTGACCCGAGTGTGTCAGCCAAAATATGCAAAAATACACCTTTCATAAGTTGTGAATTATTAGTACTTCCATGGAAATGCTCTACTTCAATATGATCATGGTGATTATGGGAATGATGATCATGATGATTATGATTATGGCCTATTAAAGGGGAATGTGAATGTGAATGCTTATTTCCATGGCTTTGATTATGACCATGGCTAGGCCCATGACTATGTCCATGGCTATGTCCATGACTACACTCTCCAGCATGGCCATGGTTAAGTGCGAAAATTCCTACTATATTAACTAACAAACCTAGCACAGAAACTAAAAACAACCTTTCATGCTTTACTTCTGGAGGTTCTATGGCTCTTTCAACAGCCTCTGACATTATAAAGAATGCTATGAAAACTAAAAATAATCCATTGATCAAACCAGCCAATACTTCAGCTCTAACATATCCATAAGAATAACGTTCATTAGCTTTCCACTTTGTTATTACTTGGGCAGCTAAGCCTGCAATTAGGCCAGTACAGTCAAAAAACATATGAAAGCTATCAGATATCAGCCCTAAACTGTTAGTCCAAATTCCATATAGAAGTTCCACAATTGCAAATGAAAAATTGAGTAGTACAAAGAGAAACAAATTCCTGCTGCTCTTGTCTGACCAGATAAGTCGTTTCCATCCTAATATTTTTTCTTTGACTCTTATCAGTATACTAGGTGAGTCTCTGTGCGTTAATGGAAGCATCTTTGTGATAACTGCTTTGGAATTTTATCTAAATAATTTTCCTGCAGAAAATATGAAAAACATATTGTGTTAAAAAATAAATACAAAAAATTCCTTTATAAAATATATTTTCTTAGTAGCATCAAATAAAGTCTTATAAACACCATTTTAAAGTTATATTTAAAATATAAATAGCTAGATTAACATTTTTTTTACAAATATTTCACATCTAAAAAGAATTTAAATTGTTGTGAAGTACTTTATGTTAATTTACATTTTTCGCAAGACAACTCCAAATGTAAAACATGTACGTAAACAAAAAAAGTATCGCTTTTACATGCTTGAAAAGCGTTTATAACACATAAATTTACAACAGATGTTAGTTAGTAATTCGGTTAAACTGATACGTTACTTCACTTATCCTTATGTATTTTACAAACACAACAATAGAGTAGCAATAAAGCGAAGTGACACGTCTACGAATTGACGAGGTTAAGTAGTGACGTTGCTCGTGTTAACTTTACCTTATTCGTTAAAAAGATACGATATTTGGGAGCATTTTCTTTCTGTCAAAAATACGATAGAACTAAGAAATATATTTGAAAACTCGTATTTGAATTCAACTACTTTCGCGCAAAGAACTTGTTACAGATCAACATTGTGCCCGGTTCCTACGAAATATTGTCGGGCACAAGTGTACAAAACCTTAATAGTACATATAGCATGGGATCATAGGAGGATCTAGTAGTACTCACTATACCTAGCTAGGTACAATGTCTTCAAAAATGACATACTTTTGTTATTTCTTGCAGCTGCTTTTTACTTACTTGGCCATAACCATTGATATCAGCACTGACTGAAATGGGAAAAAATTTATTTTCTAAAATAAGTCACATAAGAATAGTTATTTAAAAAAATAAGCTGAATATCGTAATTAACATTTACAAAATTCTAAAAGTTTTAAATAATTTGTACGATTATAATGTTAATATCATATAATATAAATATTTTTCTTTATTGAATTGTGTTTTTTTAAAAAAACGCAATAATATTAGTGATCTAATAATAAAGCTTGTGGTTTATTATATTTTATCATTTGAAGATTTTGTAAAGCGTTTGATATTATAAATTTTCGATAACGCAATATTTAACGAAAATAGAAAAATAAAATAAAAAGGAAAAAAAAAATTATAAAATTTTAATTCAATAAATATTAATTTACAAACTTTGCTATGAACTTTTAAATTTTCGCGATTATTCAGGTTAAGTACAGAATTTTGACTCACACTGTTTCATAACCCGGAAGATTACACGTTGTTATAGTGTAAAGTCAAGTATGACGTAGACACTTCCTGGTCTCTTTTCGAGCCTACCTTCAACATGGTGAGTAAGAAACATCAAATATTGTATAAATGGTTTTGTTTTTTTCATTGATATACTTAATCCACAATGATGAACCACAAATCGAGTGAATTTTAACATTTTAGTTTTGTAGCTAAATACTGTAGTCCTAATTTTTATGCTTAAGAATAGAAAAATAAACTAAAAGATACATCATTTAGAACAACGTCAAGCACATGGTTTCTATCAACAATTACATTTATCGTTCACAAAAAAGTCGTTTGTTACATGGTTAAATGTTATAATCTTATTTTTTTATTTTATAATTTCGAAAAAATGTAAATAGGAGTTTGTTTTGAGAACTTTAACCTTTAATCTCATTTTCTTTATAGATAACCTAATATTTATGTGACAATCAATATCCAGATATTTAGTGATAGTAAATTATTGATTCAATGAATCTGATTCAATACTTTGCAAATTTATTATTATTTTTTAATTTAGTTTATCGAGTATAAATTAACGTAACATTTTCTGTAGCCACCTAAGAAAGACGCAAAGGGGTCTTCTAAACAACCCCAGAAAACCCAAAAGAAGAAGGAGGGAGGATCTGGTGGCAAAGCCAAGAAGAAGGTTCGCACAAATTATCAATTAATATAACTACTAGAAATATTACAAATTGTATTAGTGTTGCTATGTTTGATTTGTTAAATAAAATAAGCCGATTTGATTAGCTGAATGCATATGTAAAAAAAATAAGTTATAGTAAACGAAATACATTCAATTTATGTAATTTATGTTAAATACAGAATATAAATGTTTACAAAGATATTATTGAAATAGTCATAAAAATAATACTATATATAAGATCATCAATTATTTAATGATAACATCTCATGGCCCTGAATTTATCATGGAGGCCAAAAACTGATTTGATGAGACTGATTTTTAAATTGTATACTTTGATATTCTATTTCATTAGATTTACATATATTCATAGACATTTATTTAAACATTGCAGAAGTGGTCCAAAGGAAAAGTTCGTGATAAGTTGAACAATCAAGTGCTTTTTGACAAAAGTACTTACGATAAATTGTTGAAAGAAGTTCCACTGTATAAGCTTATCACACCCTCCATTGTTAGTGAAAGGCTAAAAATTCGTGGATCTTTAGCTAGGCGAGCTTTAATTGACCTTCAACAAAAAGGTCTCATTAAGCAAGTTGTGCAACACCATGCACAACTTATTTACACAAGAACCACCAAGGGTGATGACCCTGCCACATAAATGATTATTTATCTGTAATATTAATTTAATAAAAAATTTTTTCTTTTATAAAAATAAATATACTTTTCATTTGGAGTAAATTATGTTAACAAATATTTAACAATATACAGAGGATAAAATCCAAAAATGTGATTTTTGAACACTATAAATATCAGCCAGCTGTGTGACTTATAGCATTGAGGTAAAGCATTATCTAATGTACAAGGTTGTCTGCATGAGAATCATTGAGTCTCTAAGTAAAGGCAAAACACTAACAAAAATTGCAATTGCAATAAACATAGAACTAATTGGATCAGCAATTTTCCACCAACCAAAAATTTACATTAATATAGCAGAAATGATTACTCCAACTGACCTGAGTGTGTCAGCCAAAATATGCAAAAGTACACCTTTCATAAGTTGTGAATTATTAGTACTTCCATGGAAATGCTCTACTTCAATATGATCATAGTGATTGTGGGAATGATGATCATGATGATTATGATTATGGCCTATTAAAGTAAAGTTGATTCAATACACTAGTTTTGGTTTGAAAGCAGCCTACTCTGCGCGCTAACGCAGCTGGGTTTGGTTGGAATGGAACGTTGAAATTTGGACTGATAATATTTTCCCGCCACTCCAGACATCATATTTATATCTATGTTTATTTAAAATCAGTAATATTTATCGCGAAGGCGAATACGGGGGATGACGAGAAAAAGTGAAAACTTAATTTTAAGCTATAGGTTGGAATTATTTAACAAGAATCGGAGAAAACAGCCCTTGGATAGGTTAGCGGAAAAACGCAATTTTCACTCGTTTTCCGTTGAGTAATCGAAGATAGGAAATTACTAGCGATATAAGGGATAATTAAGGCAATTATTACCGTTTTTCCTTTTTCGCTAACAATATCCCATGAAAATCCGGGAGCCGACTTCGCAGGCCTTCTACGAAATATTGTCGGACACAAGTGTACAAAATCTTAATGTATATAACATGGGATCATGGGAGGATCTAGTAGTACTCACTATACCTAGCTAGGTACAATGTCTTCAAAAATGACATACTTTTGTTATTTCTTGCAGCTGCTTTTTACTTACTTGGCCATAACCATTGATATCAGCACTGACTGAAATGGGAAAAAATTTATTTTCTAAAATAAGTCACATAAGAATAGTTATTTAAAAAAATAAGCTGAATATCGTAATTAACATTTACAAAATTCTAAAAGTTTTAAATAATTTGTACGATTATAATGTTAATATCATATAATATAAATATTTTTCTTTATTGAATTGTGTTTTTTTAAAAAAACGCAATAATATTAGTGATCTAATAATAAAGCTTGTGGTTTATTATATTTTATCATTTGAAGATTTTGTAAAGCGTTTGATATTATAAATTTTCGATAACGCAATATTTAACGAAAATAGAAAAATAAAATAAAACGGAAAAAAAAAATTATAAAATTTTAATTCAATAAATATTAATTTACAAACTTCGTTATGAACTTTTAAATTTTCGCGATTATTCAGGATAAGTACAGAATTTTGACTCACGTTGTTTCATAACCCGGAAGATTACACGTTGTATAGTGTAAAGTCAAGTATGGCGTAGACACTTCCTGGTCTCTTTTCGAGCCTAACTTCAACATGGTGAGTAAGAAACTAAAAATATTGTATAAATTGTTTTACGTTTTTTTCATTGATATACTTAATCCACAATGATGAACAACAAATCGAGTGAATTTTAACATTTTAGTTTTGTAGCTAAATACTGTAGTCCTAATTTTTATGCTTAAAAATACAAAAATAAACTAGAAGATACATCATTTAGAACAACGTCAAGCACATGGTTTCTATCAACAATTACATTTATCGTTCACAAAAAAGTCGTTTGTTACATGGTTAAATATTATAATCTTATTTTTTTATTTTATAATTTCGAAAAAATGTAAATAGGAGTTTGTTTTGAGAACTTTAACCTTTAATCTCATTTTCTTTATAGATAACCTAATATTTATGTGACAATCAATATCCAGATATTTAGTGATAGTAAATTATTGATTCAATGAATCTGATTCAATACTTTGCAAATTAATTATTATTTTTTAATTCAGTTTATCAAGTATAAATTAACGTAACATTTTCTGTAGCCACCTAAGAAAGACGCAAAGGGGTCTTCTAAACAACCCCAGAAAACCCAAAAGAAGAAGGAGGGAGGATCTGGTGGCAAAGCCAAGAAGAAGGTTCGCACAAATTATCAATTAATATAACTACTAGAAATATTACAAATTGTATTAATGTTGCTATGTTTGATTTGTTAAATAAAATAAGCCGATTTGATTAGCTGAATGCATATGTAAAAAAAAATAAGTTATAGTAAACGAAATACATTCAATTTATGTAATTTATGTTAAATACAGAATATAAATGTTTACAAAGATATTATTGAAATAGCCATAAAAATAATACTATATATAAGATCATCAATTATTTAATGATGACATCTCATGGCCCTGAATTTATCATGGAGGCCAAAAACTGATTTAATGAGACTGATTTTTAAATTGTATACTTTGATATTCTATTTCATTAGATTTACATATATTCATAGACATTTATTTGAACATTACAGAAGTGGTCCAAAGGAAAAGTTCGTGATAAGTTGAACAATCAAGTGCTTTTTGACAAAAGTACTTACGACAAATTGTTGAAAGAAGTTCCACTGTATAAGCTTATCACACCCTCCATTGTTAGTGAAAGGCTAAAAATTCGTGGATCTTTAGCTAGGCGAGCTTTAATTGACCTTCAACAAAAAGGTCTCATTAAGCAAGTTGTGCAACATCATGCACAACTTATTTACACAAGAACCACCAAGGGTGATGACCCTGCCACATAAATGATTATTTATCTGTAATATTAATTTAATAAAAAATTTTTTAAATGCCATTAAAATTTTTTCTTTTATAAAAATAAATATACTTTTCATTTGGAGTAAATTATGTTAACAAATATTTTATTATAAAAACTTGATTAAATAATTTTTGTATGGTTAGAGATATAAATACAATTTTTTTTATTATTTTATTGAAAATACTAATCTAGTGGTATATTTCAAATATATATCTTATTTACTGCACTTGCAAAACTCAAACTTGCCTATATGATTTCACACTTCAATTGTTTACCAAATGACACTTCAAGATTATAAATTTTGTTGATCTTTTCTGTTCATTATTTATAACTATTAGGTGAAGGCTAATGTCATAGCCTGAACTAAATTTTTGTACAATTTAATCAAATGTTCCAGTAATATGATCTGGATTTTTAGTGAGTTTATGCAAGTATTAATATATAAGTTAACAAGTATTTTATTCAAATGATTCAAATTTAAGAAAACGGCTAACAAAAAAATTATTGGTTAAACATTCCTCAGCTATCAATGAACAATCATTATTGTTATGGCCACACAACTCAGCCCTCGAAATTCAGAAGTCCAGGCACTTGAGCAGAAAGGATATGCTATTGGGAAAAAAATTGGACAGGTCATTCATGTATATTTTAGTACAAGCTTAGTGAAACTTGATAACAAGTTATAAGGTCAATAATTCGCGATAATTTCCAAAACTTATATATATATTAAAAAAATTGTTTATTCTATATTTTTATTTATTAATTTTTTATGACAATATATATTTGTCTTTATACGTAGATAGGTAAACTGCATAAAATTTCCACATCATAATGTAGTTGTGTTGCTGAATTTTCTGTGGTTTCACATGCAGGGTACTCATGCAACAGTTCATTTAGCAGAATTTATTGATAACTCCAATGGGAAAAAAGTAAGACTGGCATGTAAAATTTTTAATAAAAAGAAGGCACATAGCAATTTTCTGAATACCTTTTTTCCACGTGAATTGGAAATTCTTACAAAAATAGACAATCCCCACATCATTCAAGTATAGTTATTTTTATTTTCTATATATCTATTCTCATGGGAAAAGAAATGTTTGAAAATGTTTATATCAACATTTCGAAATCATGCTAAATTTAACATAAAATAGGTTCACAGCATTCTTCAGAGAGGACCTCGAGTGTTTATATTTATGCGATATGCGGAAAACGGTGATCTGTTGGAGTACATACTACGAACTGGACCTGTACCAGAAGAGCTATCAAAACTGTGGTTTCGCCAAATGGCATCTGGCCTTCAGTATCTTCATAAAATGAATATTGCTCATCGCGATCTAAAGTGCGAAAACATTCTTTTGTCGAGAAACTTTGATGTTAAATTAGCAGATTTCGGCTTTGCTCGCTATTGCGTTAATCAGGATGGCCGACGAGTATTAAGTCAAACTTACTGTGGTTCGGCTGCCTATGCAGCACCAGAAGTGGTCGCGAGTATCCCTTACAATCCAAAATTGGCCGATGCATGGTCTCTCGGAGTTATTCTTTTTATAATGCTTAACGCTGTGATGCCTTTCAAAGACAAGCACTTACATCAATTGCTCAAGGATCAAATGAACAAGAATTGGGCGTTCCAGCCGAACATTCGCGATACTGTGTCCACTTTAGCAAGAAATATTGTGAAACAGATTCTAGAACCAGACATAACGTTGAGACTTACCATCGATAGGATTTTATCTCACGATTGGATTACAACCAAGAACGATAGAAGCGGTTACAATAACGGAAAACCCGTCCATTCTGCACCACCTGCGTATCATCAAGTATGCACCGATCTCATAAGCTATGCATTGATTTTATGTTTTAAATTTAAATCGAGCATGTGTTATAATTTTTACATCTAGGAAAGTGGAGCGAAACCTGAGACCACCACATTAAGGCCGTACCCTGGCAGATTAGGAACAAAAAATCAAGTACCTCTGTCAGTCAGATTGGGTCTGAGGTCATTTAAAGGAAGCACCAGTACCCGCAATCAGGGAACATAATCCTATGCATTACAAGTTTCCGAAACAAAACCCTCGCGTGCTAACAGATAAAGATTTCGGCTTTGAGCAATTATTGTTCATGTAAGATTTGAGGAAAATATACTTCTTTCACTTCTTCAGGAAAACTTCATGATATTTACCTTGACATTTTATAAATAATAAAATTAAAGCACTAGTATTCTCCTGTCGATTTATTTTAGTTAATATCTATATTGATGTCAAAACGTTACATTCTTTATCACGGATGCTTATTTTACAAGGTAATTTATACGTGACATAGTATTAATTGATATTAGATATCGTAGAAGTATTCAAGCATTCATATAAATTTACCCTTCATATCTATAAAATTATTTTATGCGGTCTTATCGTACAAGTTTCTAAATATTTTTTATATTACTTAACAAACAGATGCAGCAATTAGCTAATTACAATAGCTATAGAAGACGCTTCGTAATTTGCGTCTAAATCTTAGAGTAATATTAATAAAATCAATATCATTACTTTAATTTGAGATAATAGCTTTTTCAATGTCTAGTTTCTTTATAGTATATAGTTCAAACAAAATATATATAAATCATGTCCCTTGATTTACGGCAGCATTAACTGGAATCATATCATATCACTTTCGACATTATCAGAAGCATTACTTTATTTAGAATTTACTTTTATTTAGAATAATGTAAAAAAGATGTGATAATTTTTAAATACGTGCACGTCATATTTCGTTCCAAAGCAGTCAATACGTGGCGACATCTATAATTGGGGCCTGCAATGGCTCGGTCGGTAGGGCGACGGACTCGCACCCGGTAGGCCCAGGTTCGATTCCCAGTCCCTGCTGATTGATACAAGCACCACTGAAAAAAGTTTCATGTACTTTGTTCTCAAACACAAGCCTCCGTCGCTGATTAGCACTGATGGAGCATAAATAGAGCGATGTTGAACAATAACAAAAAAAATACATCTATAATTCTTTGTTTTTTCGAGTTTCGACTTTCCAGACTTTCGTTCGTCTACGTCGAATGCTCTGTTGATAATTAATTCAGATAATTGAAAAAAATACTGCATAGAATGATTCGTACAAATCCGTAAGATGAATTCTCAGGTAAACATTATTCATACAGTTTACTTATGTATTAGATTTCCTCATTATAAATAAGTATTATTTTATAGATATCTTATAATTCATAGTTAAAGATAATTAAATATTACTTTTAGATTTTAATATGATTACATTATCTTAGTTTACTCTGCTTCTAATTGGAGCTTGACTTTCTAATCAGAATAATGACTTTAATATACTTTCCTTGTGGTTCCTTTTAAAAACAATGTAGTCACTACTGACGTAATAACACCTTTTGGAAAAACATCAACATCGATTGAAAGCATTCTATTTTTATTATTGACTTAATCATATTTGATATATATATTTCTTACATATTTCTTGCTTCCAATAAAGATTGAAAATTTGAATGTTCATGAAAAATTCTCATTAGATTTACATCAATGTGATAAAAATACGAGATAGGCCTGCAATGGCTCGGTCAGTAGGGCGACGGACTCGCACCCGGTAGGCCCGGGTTCTCGATTCCCCAGTCCCTGCTGATTGATACAAGCACCACTGAAAAAAGTTTCATGTGCTTTGTTCTCAAACACATTACAAACCTCCTCCGTCGCCGATTAGCACTGATAGAGCATAAATAAAGCGACGTTAAACAAAATAAAAAAAAAAAAATACGAGATGGCGTATTCCAAAATCGTTTAATATTTGACAATAATAGAATAAAAAGTCATAGTGTCTCATGTGTTTATTTACTTTACATCTATTATCATCTAAATTAATGTACAAAACTAAATATTTGTTACATGTACAGATACTCGAATAATGATAGCATGCAACATAGTTTACTGCTATAATTATAAGTATAACGATTATTTATTTATACATATAATTTTTAAATTATACGTAATATATATAGTTTACATTAAAATTATAACAAATAATTTACATGATATCATATATAATTCGCTTTACTGGCAGTCAAAGTCGCTCAATATAGCACCGTCCAATTGATTCGATAACAATATATATTTTGAACAGAGAGAATCAACTACCATTATTAGGCGAATAAATGTCATACCAACTAACATACAATAAAACAAAATATCGAATTGTTAAAATTATCTAAAAAGCCATATGATTAGATTAAAGAATATTGCAAAGAAAAGATCTTATGGTAATAATTCACGCTGTTTCAAATAATAGTAATATAATAATAATAATAAAGATGATATACAAGAAATATTTTTCTCGCAATAAACACAATTAAAATCGCTGTATATGTGTGTAGAAATTCTGTGCGTAATGTAACTCTCATGTTTATATTTTGTCTAATAGGCACTTTGCGTCAAATAGTGATATGAGAAACGTCGATTTCCCGTAATCATTTTTCTCTACCGTCGTAAAAAAATAAAACCATTCATTGCGAATGTTAATACGGTAAAAGTGTATACATTACGTTGTAATCAAGTATAATAATAAAACAATCTATGTATTTACAATAAAAATCTGGACGTCGCGATTGGGGCGCCTTAAAATTGATATTTCAGATATTTATAAAACTGTTTTAAATTTAAGTATTCATCGCATACTGATATAGAGGTTTATCGATTAATTATATCGATCAATCGTTCGCGCTCACAGGAATATTTCAATCCCAGCCACCTGTGAGTTTATGGAACATTTCTTCGTTGAGCGTCTGGTTAACTTCTTTGGAGCGCATAGATAAGAAAATGTAACCACCGATGAATTCGTGGAGTACCTTACAGTCAGCCGATTGACACTCGAATATGATATTCTCCTCTTCGAATTGCACCATCATGTGCTTGACTTCCCAGTTGACATTCCAAGCCTGCAATAACGAACGGTCACGACAGGAAGTTGTATAAAAATCCAAATCGATTTCATCTCGAAAGATCATTGGCTCACCTTCATTGTATTATATCTCCAAGTTTTTACGTGATCTCCGCTGTGTAAATCCATGCGCATGAGCCTGTTACTCGCAATGCCCAGCAATTCATCCTTGCTCTTACCAGTAAATCTGACAATGAACAAAGATATTCCATACTCCGGCAGCGACTGCCATGCCTTGATATAGTTCAATTTAGCATCGATCAGTTGCAAATCCTTGACATTAGCGTGAGCTTCGAGGATCCTCTGTATGAGCTGGGAAAGGAGAAAGAAACCGACGTCAGAAAAATGATTGTGCGCGCGAGTGTACGCGTATTGCGCAACGCCGTACGTCGGCAATAAACTTACTTTGCCTTTGAACTTCTTGGCGAACCTCGGCGCGACGTAGTCCTCGGGCACGATGTCACCGAGCGAATTGGGATTGATGGCCGGGGCGGGCGCTGGCCTTTGAAGCTGCAAGAACGCCAGTATGCCGTTCACTTCGCTCTCGTACGAGGCGTCGGCTAGTGTGCGACCTTTCGACGCGAGTCTGCACGCGGCCATCCATTTGGCGTATTGTTGTTCCTGCAAAGCGTTGCAAAGCACGACTCGTCAATGCGGATCTCTATTAATGTCGGGGCTGATTGAAAAGCAGCGCGACGCTCACCGAATCGCATCTGATCCACATCTCGGTCATGCCCTCGGCACTGGGCACCTCCAATCTGATGCCGTAGCGTCCTTGGGATAGATGCACGTCGGGCGTCACCTCGCAGCCGCGCAAGTTAATAACGTGCACCGGTCCCTCGGAACTGTTGGAATCCTCGCGGCTCTTGTAAAGCCTGAGCTGCAGGTCGCGACAAGTGAACCAGTAGCGCTTGAAGGCTTTGAGCGTGAAACGCTTGGGTTTGAAGAAGCGCAGATAATCGCACAATTCGGGAATCTGAGTGATATCGCTGGATCCGTTACTAACGTTGGTACCCTCAAGGCTCACTTGCAAATCCGTGAGTGCGGCGTCGATGTCGTCCTCGGCTGGCACTTGCGTGCCGTTCGCCGAGTCGTAGCTCTTTTGTGGAATTCCCGCTTGCAGATTTATTTGAACCTGAAAAAGAATGAATTTTTTCATCGTACCAGTCGAATGGACGTTCCAACAAGAACAAAGAAAGCACTCGAAGGGAGTACTGTATTTTGAAGCTCTGAAAATAGCACGAGCTTGAGCTAGGCGTACGCGCGTTGGAATTCAAAGGCCGATAAGCGCCAAGAATGAGAGAGAGAGAGAGAGGCGCGCAATTTCGCACGCAAGAAAGGTTTGTGCGGAAAGGTCGTAAAGCGCGGGCAGTAAAAGGCACGCACCTGCAGAGCGGCAAACATGAGCATCTCCTCCTCGGTGCAGTCGATTTCCTCGGCGAGAAGTTGCCACTTGGCCTGCTCGTAGATCATGTTGATCCTGATGGCGTCGGTCTTGGGATTGAGATCGTAGAACGAGTAGAACTTGAAGCGCAGCCTCAGAGTGTCGTACTCGTGGATGCCCTGCTCCATAATGGACAGCGAGGAGTCGAGCCAAGCGACGTTCATGCGCGCCTTCTCCGCCAAGCTTTTGGGTCGCATCAGTTTGGCGCGCACCTCGGGCGATGCGCTCGGCGGGCTCTGCATCAACAGCTCGCTCAAGCCGCCGTTCAGTGCTTCCAGGCTCATCGTGCTGTTGTTGGCGTTGAACGAGCCCGTGCTGCCGAAGCTCAAGCTGTTGTTGTTGCGCTTCCACGTGCTCGTATGCTAAAGTGGGATCAGATCGAACGTCATTTGCCGTGCCATTTGTATGGTTTTCTCGCTTTGCTGCTAATCCGCGAGTCAATCGACGAGATAAAAGCCTCGACACGCCATTAGATTGTCAGGAAACGCTGGCTAAAGTCAATTTGTCCAAATGTAGAAAACTAGCGATAGAATCCCCAGTGATCACACGACGTTCAAACAGCTCGGGGAATAGGTTGGTGAAAAACAAACGAAACCGTTCGGGCATTCCTCGAGACACTCGAAAAGTGTCGTAAGTCAAGACTGCGCGCTGTATGCGCAGCTCGCCATGGAGCCCCGCAAACCCACATAGGTATTACGTACGTGTGTTGTTTTGACAAGTGCGCGGGCACGTCGTGTGTACGTAGGAGAAAAAGAAAGAGTGACAAAGTAGCGGATACCGTGGCAGGCGAGCTGATGGGTGTGCTGTGGTGATTGCGATGGTTGTTCGGCGTGACGGGCCCGCACATGAATGGATTCGGCTGGTCAAGGCTGTTGGTCGAGCCAGCTGGACTTTGCGTGGCCATGATGAAGGTATTCGTGTCCGCGGCCGCGTGGTAGCCGTTTTTCTGGCGCTCCTCGATCTTCTTCTTCGCCGGCAGATCCTTCAGATTGTACTTCAAGTAGTGAGGCTCCAAGGGCTTGCAGAACGACAACTCCTCCGGGTGTCGGATTCCTGTCGTCGGTTCGATTCGTCTTTACTCTGGCTTTCGTAGACGCGACAAAAGAGAGACGAGA